CACAAATGTCCTTTCTGGACTACTCTAGATCATGGATACTGTTGTTACCCCTGACAACAATATCAGTTTCATTTGAGGAGTAATGATGCACAGTCACAACTCTGTCTAATCAATTCCTTTCTTAGTCTTGCAGCACATGAAACAATACTCAGAGGTTTAAGTGGCTACATTTAGTGCTAGTGCTGAAAGTAAGTGCAACTTAAATGCATTTTGTACTTAACTTGAGTGTTAACGTTTTCTGAAACTATTATTCTACTTAAGCACATTTAACAGCACCGAAATATGGCACCACTCTACTACATTTAACTCAACTCCCAAACCAAAATACACAAAGATTTACCAAATTACCACAAGATTACCATAAAGGCTAAACTTCATCTCACCAAACTATTTCATCCCCGACAATCCCCCAAGCCCCCAGCTTATGTAATGCAGCCAGACCAGGTGAGCTGAATCTCTCTGACAACCAGACTCCACCCATCAGACTCCTGCAGAGAGAGGCCTGCTTAGAGACGGTTGTAACACTATTGTGATTTTCGCCTCTAGGTAATACTTCCATTGATTCAAGTGTGACACACCTTTGCCAGTCTTTTCTTTCCAGAGTTTCACATTCAGACAACCAAAAGACACAGTTATCCCTGCAGGGTAATGTCCATTTAAATGGATGTGCAACTCCCATTTAGTTAGTCTTTTACCTTTTTGACATTAGTTTCTATAATATCCATCCTTTTTTTTTACACTCAGGAATTCAAGTATAACTGTAAGGTACTTGTACTTGAGTATTTCCATTTTATGCGACTTCATGCTTCCACTCTACTGCAAAAAAAAAATGCACTTACTCCACTTAATTTATTTGAGAGCCTTAGTTAAACAAGCAAGATACTGAACAAACTGCAACAATTCACTGAAGGACCTGCACTCTACTGGGTTCCCTTTCGCCCTGGAGAAAAAGTTGACCTCCCTGACTGTCATTTTATAAGTTGCACTCCGGTTATTAGATTGACCAATGGAATGATAAAGTTACTAATTGTTACCTCAACTACATTAAACAAAAGGAAAACGGAACAGGCATTTCCCTACACAGACTATTACTCAGTAAAAACAGTAAAACAGCTCTGGGTTTCTTACCTCTTTGTGTCCTCTTGTGTTTCTTTGTGTTGTAATGATACTTTGCAGATCAAGTATAACTTACAAATAGTGTTATCTCTTATTGTGTGTCTAAAAAACAACAGTCAGTTGTCAGAGTGACAGTCAGTTTCATTTCTACTCGGAAGACGACGTCTGATCACTGCAGGTTTTTGTTTCCGGGAGTGGCTGGTTTGCGTGTCTTTATGTGGGTGTGTCAGCATCAGTCAGAGCCTTTCACTTTGGTCAGGGATGTTTATCCAAGAATTAAGCTTCCTTTCTTATCCCAGAGATTGACTAAGGATGAAAAACGATCTGCAATTCCTTCATGTGTCACAGAGAAGAGTTCTTACTGCTCTCTGTATGAGAGGAAAGCCAGTTTTAACAGCGCTCTCCACAGAGGATGTGACTCATGAGTAACCATAGCTGCTAGAAATAATTTGGGGTGCATCGAATTCTGATCAGAAGGCGCATGGCATGTAAAAGCATGCACAGAGCAAGACATGTAAGAGCATGCATTGAGTGGAGGGAGGAACATGCGAGAGAGAGGGACAATTTAAGAGAGGAGAAAGCAAGGATGGAAAAATGTTCCAAACGCTCCAAAAATGATAAGCACCACGCTCTGACCAGCTGAGCCAACGGGCCTGTAAAGGTTGTTTCTTTGATGCTTCAACAAGCACATTACAGCCGTCTCATATTTTGTCCAGTGACGCTGACTAAAGCAATAAAGACACTTCATGTGTGATTCCTTCAAACACATCAGATGCAGCAATGGAAAGGATGCAACAACCAACCATGAAGGGACTCGAACCTTGTCCATTAGGCCACATGGTCTTAAAATCTGATATTGTACATTTCAAGACTTGTTGAAGAGAGAATGAATGATCATGGTTTTATTGGTAGCCTACCATCAATGACAAATTTCTGAAGTACCCATTGATAGTATTAGTTGTTTCTGTCTGATGCATTAACAGACAGAGCCTGAAGTGTAAATGATATTGGCCAGTATGGGGATCGAACCCATGACCTTGGCGTTATTAGCACCACACTCTAACCAGCTGAGCTAACCGGCCTATAGGTGGTGTTACTTTGATGCTTCAACAAGCACATTACATCTGGAGACAGTTAGGATGCAAACTGCAACCATGAAGGGACTTGAACCTTCAATCTTCTGATCGGTCACATGGTCACACCTCATCTGCTTTTAAAGGGCTTTGCCTTTCCTCACTGTTTTGACCTTTATGTTAGGCTAAGGTCAAAAGTACAAGTTGGACTAAACATGAGACTTGTTGAAGAGAGAAATTTATGATCATGGTTTTATTGGTAGCTTATCATCAATGACTAATTTCTAGTACCCATTGATAGCATTGGTTGTTTCTGTCTGATGCATTAACAGAGAGACCCTAAAGTGTTAATGCTATTGGCCAGTATGGGGATTGAACCCACGACCTTGGCGTTATTAGCGCCACGCTCTAACCAGCTGAGCTAACCGGCCAACTTTTATATAAAATTTTCTTTAGAATGAAGGAGAGAGAACAAACCACACTCGACCTATTTTCCATGTTTAGCTTGGTGTGATCGCCTTCACCTTCTGTGGAGGAGAAATAGCAAAACAGAGAAAATAGATTTTGCATCATGATTTTCTCAAGCTTTGCATCACCACCCTAACCTATGGCTGAACACTGTAGGTTTAAGTGTTGCACCAATAAAGATGCTTTATTGGTTCCTTCAAACAGAACTGATTCAGCAACACGTAGGATGTAACATCCAACCACGAAGGGACTCGAACCCTCAATCATCTGATTCGAAGTCAGACGCCTTGTCCATTAGGCCACATGGTCACAGAGGAGCTGCTTTTAAAGGGCTTTGTGATTTCTCACTCTTTTGACCTTTATGTTAGGCTACCGTCAAAAGTACAAGTTGGACTAAACATGAGACTTGTTGAAGACAGAATGAATGATCATGGTTTTATTGGTAGCCTACCATTAACGACAAATTTCTGAAGTACCAATTGATAGTGATGGGTGTTTCTTACTGATGCATTAACAGACAGAGCCTAAAGTGTTAATGATATTGGCCAGTATGGGGATCGAACCCATGACCTTGGCGTTATTAGCACCACGCTCTAACCAGCTGAGCTAACCGGCCTGTAGGTGCTGTTACTTTGATGCTTCACCAAGGACATTACATCTGGAGACAGTTAGGACGCAAACTGCAACCATGAAGGGACTTGAGGCTTCAGTCTTCTGATCGGTCACATGGTCGCACCTCATCTGCTTTTAAAGGGCTTTGCCTTTTCTCACTGTTTTGATCTTTATGTTAGGCTATGGTCAAAAGTACAAGTTGGACTAAACATGAGACTTGTTGAAGAGAGAAATTTATGATGATGGTTTTATTGGTAGCCTACCATCAACGACAAATTTCTGAAGTACCCATTGATAGTATTGGTTGTTTCTGTCTGATGCATTAACAGAGAGAGCCTAAAGTGTTAACACTATTGGCCAGTATGGGGATCGACCCCATGACCTTGGCGTTATTAGCACCACGCTCTAACCAGCTGAGCTAACCGGCCTGTAGATGGTGTTACTTTGATGCTTCACCAAGGACATTACATCTGGAGACAGTTAGGATGCAAAGTGCAACCATGAAGGGACTTGAACCTTCAATCAATCAGTTCAGCTGACCACTAATAAAGATGCTTCCTTCATGTTTCTCTCAAACACTTTACACTCAGCAGTGCATAGGATGCAACAGCCAACCACGAAGGGACTCGAACCCTCAATCTTCTGATCCGAAGTCAGACGCCTTGTCCATTAGGCCACATGGTCACAGAGCAGCTGCTTTTAAAGGTCCTTCCCATTTCCCACTGTTTTGACCTTTATGTTAGGCTACTGTCAAAAGTATAAGTTGGACTAAACATGAGACTTGTTGAAGAGAGAATGAATGATCATGGTTTTATTGGTAGCCTACCATCAATGACAAATTTCTGAAGTACCCATTGATAGTATTGGTTGTTTCTGTCTGATGCATTAACAGAGAGAGCCTAAAGCGTTAATGATATTGGCCAGTATGGGGATCGAACCCATGACCTTGGCGTTATTAGCACCACGCTCTAACCAGCTGAGCTAACCGGCCTACAGTTAAACACAATTTTCTTTAGAAAGAAGGACAGACAGAACAAACCACACTCGACCTATTTTACATGTTTAGCTTGATGTGATCACTTCCACCTTCTGTGGCGGAGAAATAGCAAAACAGAAAAATTTCGTATTAGTATTTTCTCATCACCACCCTAACCTACAGCTGACCACTGTAGCACCGATAAAGATGCTTTTTATGTTCCTTTAAACACAACGGATTCAGCAATGTGTAGGATGCAACATCCAACCATGAAGGGACTTGAACTCTCAGTCTTCTGAGCCAAAGTCAGACAACTTGTCCATTAGGCCACATGGTCTCAAGGGGAGAGATGCTACCTTTTGACGGACCTATGGTTTGCATGACTAAGTAAGATATGGTGCTGCATGGTCTTAACACATGTTGCACATATTTGGAAAGTTTGGGCATGCAAAAGAAAATGTTTTCTGCTGCTGAACGTGGAACACTGGTTGAAGATAATACACTTTTGGAACTGTAGACATGTATTAATCATGCAAGAGTATCTATCTGTATCTAAGGATAAAATAGATTAAAAAACTAATTTAACAGGCCTATTAAATAAAAAATAAACCAGGTACTGAGTGTATTCATATGTTCCATTCCATTCCTCCTAATCTTTGGGCCTTTAAACACACCGACAGCCCCAACATGTTCGGCCTATCCTGAATATTCTGTCATAACGTACACAAATGCGATAGAGTTGGACTGAAAGCCTATGAATGAGATGGAAAGAAAAACAGAGCAACAACTACTGCTGATCAATGTATCTAGACACTGATGGTAGATCTGTTTTAATACTGAAATTTGGCATTCTCTGAGGTTGTTTTTTATTTTTTTTAACATTCAATGCTGCAGTAACTAAACACCTTATTTGTGATCACTGAAGATAGATCCCTAAATGAAATCTTGAAAAGTCATCACAATGTCTGGTAATAAATGTCAGGATGTTTGATTTTAGGAAAGGTTTTATTAAGCAGTTCTTCATGAAACCTTTATATCTGGAAAACCTGATGGCATCTTTGGTCCTTCCTTGTAACACTCATTCAACACCGGCTGTGTCCCGCTGAACCTGACCTCTGTCATATGTCAGCTCCTGTAGTTCCCTGATTTCCTTTGGGTGCTGTTGCCTGAGGTCGTGTCTTTAGTTCCTGTTTGGTGGTATATGTGGGTGGGGCCAGTTCCTGGACTGGAAGTAGCCCCTGAGTCCTTCCAGGTCCACTGGAGGGAAATAGGCTCCGATGCGTTTTCTCAGCCACCACTTCCCCTGCGCTGCACTGGCAGTGCCGGGCTGGCTGAACTTGTACTTGAAATGTTCTCCTCGCACCCACCTGAGAGGGAGGAGAACACAGGAGAGACTTTAAAAATCTCCCCTTCTCGGCACTTCACTCATTTGGATAAGATTCATTCTTTAATGAGCAACAACTAACAATAGAAATCTTCCATAATCCTCTTTGTGTTCAGATTAGTTTCAATCTGTCAGTTTTCATATTGTTATCATACCATACATGATAACATGGTGTCTCCTGGTTTCATGAATAACATCCTGGCAAAAAAACCTGTATGTTAGAAGCGAAAAGCAGCAAACTCTCATTTTTTCCTCACACTGAGACAATGGGCTGTAAAAAACCCGACAGGGGTTAATGATAAGTCACAACCCGGGACAATATTTTGCATATTTCCTGTGTGCTCTATATGTTATAAGCCATGTCTGCTAATGTTTCGGTTAATAACATTCACTAGCAGTCGAAATACTTCGGTGTTCTACACTGATAACAGAAAGCTGAGTATTCAGACAACTGAAATAATATGCAAGTAAACTATTAATTAATCAATCTTCATACTATTACTATTATTATTAATTTGAGGTATACTTTCACCACAAATGCATTATTTCTAGCAAGATAAAGTCATTATGTACTCTTTGCCTCACCAGAGGGAGCTATAGGACAGAAAATAACTACAGGAGAGAGTCATTCAATTGATCCATGCCCATACATTCAATGACAGATTGATCATAAATAGCACAATTATGATCTATTTCAGGAAATAACCACTGAAAAAAAGTTATAGGGGATTTTTCTTCAAAATAAGAGCATTTTAGAACAGGAAGTGATGCGGCTGGGAGATGACAGAAGGTGCTTCAAGCTGATAAAAGCTCTTACGTCAAAGCGGAGGATAAAGATCACACAATGTTCGGGTGGAAAGATGCACTGCTGTTGTTACCTGGGGGGGTCTCTGCCTCGGAAAGGGTTGTGGTCGAGCAAGGAGAGGACTGTGCTGTCGTTGGAGAGCAGACGTCCTGCTATGTGGATCACCCACTCACTCTGCTCGTAGGTCTGTATGAAAAGAGAACATGGTTGGGTGTGAAAAAACATGGACGGGTATGATAATACAAAAAGAAATATATTGATATCAAAACAATACAATGAACAGAAAACCACAAAGAGGTCAAAAGAGTAATAGATGGATACTCACTATTGGCTCATACTTAGTAGAATCAGCTCCAACTTAGCTGATACTAAGTTGAAGTTGGAGTAAGTAAATGCAACTCCTGCCCTCCAGTGTCTAGACACAGTCGGTGGACACTTGAGGCAGCATGCAGAAGGTTTTTGACTTGACAAGATTAAAGTCACGTGGAAATACTTCTGAATTTATTTCACCTCTTCAAATGCAAGAAGCAAACACAACACAAAATCACAAAAACAAGTTAACATGTACCTGGAAGGCGGCGAACCACATGAGCCAGTCCAGCCGGTAATGGTACGGTGATATGAGGCACGGTCTCCGGTAAACATCCCCTGGCTTACACAGGAACTGGTACTCCTCCCAAACTGCCTGAGGGTCCTTGGGGTCAGGACTTAGAGTGCCCTGGAAAATCACCTCTGTACGCTCCTTGGTGATGCTGGGGACAAAGTTTTGGAAAACAAGATTAAATAGTTAATAAAGCTGCAAGAAAGTTGATTTTTTTTTACAAATGGCATGACTGACGTGCAAGAGTACAAGATATAACAGCAGCAGATTTACACAAAAAGTTTAGAATTTATTTATGTGCTTAGAAAAATAAAAGTGTGAACATCTGCACTTCCATTACACCTGTTGAGGAAGACTATTTGATATGATCGAAAGCTCCAGAACAGACAACTAATGGACCTTGTAGTGAGAAAAACCTGACACTGCACTGTGGAAAAGCAAGATTTAGAGGTCTTGTGTAAATTATCTTAATTTCGTTTTAAATTCAGGCACAACTCTACCTGCCGAAGGCCCCGTAGGTGTTGACGATGCGCAGTGGGTCAAAGGAGGTGTTCATCACCTGCCTGGGGCTGAACAAGTTCATCACCACGGGAATGCTCAGATAGCCAATCAGAACGCCCAGAGAAATGTTCACCACCCGACGTATCAATATACCTGACACACACACACGCACACACACACACACACACACGAAAGGAAAAGAATGAAAAATCGTATTAGTTTGTATTTATTCTGACTAAAGGGAAATTGGATACAGTTTTATGGATCAGTTCCAGTCCGTCTGTCCGTCCATCCATTACACACTATTTACATCGCTCTTAGCCACATTTGATGAATTTGCAAGGATCCATGTCACTGCTCCCATTTCGCCTAAAGGAGTTGCTACAGCTTTTGTTTACTTGTTAAATTCTGTTGAGTTTTGGAGAAATAAAGTGTCTCACAGCTGTGTAATCCCAGTTTTCCAAATGAAACTGAGTGGCCCAAGGGAAACCTGTAATTACACCTTAAATCAGGGTGACATGTTTGTTAGTGTCTGGCCAGAGAAGGGGATTCATCATTTGGGAGGGGGCTGACGTGACAGACTCAACGCTACTGAGAGTGTACAGTAAGTCTATGTGTGTTTATGTGTGTGTGATCCCTTTAACACTTCCTCAGTGGAAAAGGTTTGGCCTGTTAGATCATGGGACGGCTTGGTATTGACAAATGTTGGCTAAGTCTGCATCAGTTCCTTCCTACCTGTTATGTGGGCCTGCTTATCCCGCGCATGGTAAAGACATCAACACAATCCAACTAAAACTTTTAACAAAGACCTTCTGGGTCTGTTCAAATGATTAAAACACACTCACACTTAAGGTAAAAGCCCATTTTATATTCAACTTCCTCCCACAAAGTAAAGACACTAATGGGTCCAATGAGACCAATTAGAGAGGCCACTCTCATTCTTTTACGTTTTAAGAAGTCTGTAATGTAAAAAAAAAAAAAAAAAGTAAGCCACATCACATTAAATTTCAATAAACCATATGTCAGACTTTTCCCAGCAACTCAGCTGTCCAAGTGCTAATCCCTTGCCCTCCCTTAATTCCCTCTCTGGTATGACCAGACCCTTTACCTGCCATTAGCTTCTATTGTAAGTAATACCAATGTTATATCCTGTACATCGTCTGCTGTGTTTAATTTCAAAATAAAATATCAACCATTTGAAAGAGAAAAAAGACGGAATTAAATCCCACTTTCAGTATATATTTCAATATATATACTGAAAGTGGGATTTAATTCTGTCGTGAATCCACATACCTTTGGTGGGGCTTTGGGTGCGTCCAGCTGCATCCTCATTCTGTATCTCCAGCGCTGCCTTCTTGGCTCCCCCTCCAGAGCGAAACAAGAAGCCGAGGGATGCGTCGTCAAAACACGCAAGGCTGGGAACAATGGTCAGCCAGTTGAGGAAACTGAGGTTCCCACTCACTATCAGAACCATCTACAGCACAAAATACAAAAGACAGTGAATAGATATGCAGTTAGCAGAGAGAGGAACCTACATAACGCTCCAAAACTTTACCATTAAACAAGCAGTGGAATGATTATACTGCATCACTTCAGTATGATGAGGCCTTTATATATTTACTGTAGAGAACAATGTAAATACATGGCTCATGAAAAGCCCAGAAATGATCATCTTGTGACCTCTGACACTGCCTGAAAGACATGCTATTTGAAAAACATTTAATTGAAAATAAGTCTAATAAACTTACAATAAAAAAACTGATAAATAATATAATTTGGTCTTTTTTACCAGAACACATTTATGTCAACAACAGTACTTTCATTCAGTCATAAATGAACCATTATTTATCACGTGTGGAGAACAAATCAATTACATCTCTAGTCTTGTCGAGTTGTTCACAAAATGATGATTAACATACAGCTCCTGTAACTCCATTAGCCCCGAATTCTAATGGGAATCATGCCATTTGCCATCATGTACAATCACCAAACTGTTTTACAAATCATGTTATTTTTAAATTAATTATGAGAGGTAAAAAAAGAAAAAAAGAAAGTCACAAAGTTGTTTTTCTTTTTTCTTTTTTTTCCTGCAATTTTTCTTTTTTATTTTGATATATAACAAGAACATCATAGAAAATTGTATTTCCAAACTAAAACTTCCCCAGTTTCCCATCCAACCCCAGCACAAACACATAAAATGGAGGAACCAACAAAAATACAAAGTGGTTTTCTTAAAAATAAGGACATAAATAAACTATTTTTATGTTGGAAGAAGTGAAGAAGAAGAAGTTGCCCAACTGCAATGGACTTCACATGACAATATTGACAAGTGGGAATATTTTATGAAAAACCCTTTTGATTCTTTTGACCTGTGGACCCTTACGGACTACAGGAATATAAATAATCAAGGAACAGACAGACAATCGGACATCACGACCGCTTCAAAGATAGAGACCACCGTTGAGCCATCTGGCTGGTTTATGATGTTGGTAAATATTAATTAATTATGCTTTTGTATCAATGTAGAAAAAAACAAGCAATTGTATCTTTATGTGTGTTGCTAAGCTGCTTTGTTTTAAAAGGGGCTATTTGTAAAAATCTGCAAAATTATTGGCAGAGATACATGTGAGCGTTGAGTTGAAGGTGTAGCTTTAAAACTCATGGTTCGCCACTGGTGAATAGTTTGTATTACCTGGAACAGGATCTGGAGTGCCCCGTTGACCATGCACATCCGCCTGCCCAGGAAGGTGAAGAACGGGACGATGAGTTCAATGAAGTGGTTGGACAATGTCTCGAAGCGATGGAACCACCATGGGGACCGGTGCATGTAGTAGGACATGGGGTTAGGAACCGGCTGGGTCTGTAAGAAAGAAATGGAGGGGCAGAGAATGGAGAGGAGAACAGGTGAAGCTGAGTCTTTGTTGATGTCAGAGACAGTGTTATGTTGCAGGAAAAGTTTCAGGGGGCAGTTGTCCAAATAATAAAGAATTTGAATTAATGGATCTTTCCATTAATTTCTGCACAGAAACATTCTTTTTTTAGAAAAATAATCTTTGATTATGTCCAGTGTCTGCTCTGCTCTGCTCCAATACATGCTGCAGCAGTTTCTAAACATAGACAGATGGTTTCTCTGCTTTACTTTGGCACTAATCTCTTGTCTCAGCCCAGGATGGAGAGCAGGTTATGGTGCCACACCTTGACAGAAACATTTCCATGTCTAAATAAAGATGGAACTTTATTTAAATGAAGGTAACCCCACCTACACACAAAAAAACAGTCAGAGGTTTCATACAGAGCCGAGCACTGTTTGTGTACGTATGATTAAGTGTGTGTGCGTTAGGTGGTTGCATGTAAACCGTGTAATGACTGAACATGCAAACAGTGTCAGGCGATGTGGTGAAAAATAAATATAGCACAGAGAAAGACGTGTTAAAAAAAAGAAAAGGTAGTTAGCACACGTCTGTACTCTTATTGTTTTTATGGAATGGAAGATAAAAAAAGGGGGGTTATTTAACCTATAGCTAACCAAAATACCCCTGGAAATCCAAGGGCAAAGAGCCTGCAACCTCAGACAACCAAACAACCTCAGCTGGCCTGCAAACTAGCTGCGTTACAACAAACAAACTAAAGCAAACAAAATTGCCGAAACACACCGACGCAGCCCCCTGAGAGTCAGGACAGGAGGAGATCTGCAGTTTCTCTGCAGGTCTGAAAGAGAGCAGTGTGTCAGAGGGGGTTAATAAGGCTTCACCTGGCGCCAGTGGCTTCCAGTGCTCCCTCTGTGTGTGTGTGTGTGTGTGTGTGTGTGTGTGTGTGTGTGTGTGTGTGTATCTACATTACCCCTAAGACCGTTGACAGTTGAGGTTGGAGCAGGTAAACTGACCCGGCATAGAATAAGCTCTATATTGTAATATGGACTGTCACCGTGCAACTAGAAGAATTTCCTTTGCGAGTATTTGTTCCTCCCATTTCAGACTTTAATTCATAATTCAGTTAAAGCTACAATATGCAAAGTCTGGAGACCAAGTTAGCGCTAGCATCAGAGTCAACCCTTTGAGTCTGCCATAGTGATGTCTTCCAGCAGCTAATATTAGCTTGAAGCCTCGGTGGGAGATGAGCAGTAGACCAGAAGCACATTAATTGAAAGCCTTGAGATCCCACTCCTGACTCACTCAGAACATTTAGAGGAGAATATCTTGAGTCCGGGTCACAGAAGCCTTTGACAGCTCTCCATGTAAGATACAGCTGCCAAGAAAAAGTTTTGGGAAACCTTGTGGAATCGCCTGGTTTTCTGTATTAACTGGACATAAAATGTGATCTGAGCAAGTCACAAACGTAGACAAACACAACGTGCTTCAGCACACGCTAATGTTTCGATCATAACAAGACACTGATAAGCTGATAATGTATCAAGACTACTTACTGCTTGAATCTCCCCCTAAATGCTCAAAAGCCACACTACAGCAGAAAATACTGTTACTTATATTAAATAATAAGCAATAATTTTCTCTTTTCGAGGTATTTGTGCAGGTGTCATGACGCACAGCAGCCAAAGAAGACATAGTATCATTAGTTAAGAAACGCTTGTCAAGGGTGTGGAGTTACCAGGTATATAATATGCTTTACTCTTCCAAGAGCCAAATATCTTAGGACAACCTTTAAAAAAAAATGAAATCTCTCCTCACATTTTCCTGCATTTTTGTTTAACTGCTGCTGCTCTTGTGCTCCATTTAAAATATGAACTGTATAGACGATGTAATTAAGACCATGGCTCCTTTTAGCCATTGGAATCTGGAAGCAAAGCGTCACTGAATTGCTCAATTATATTTCGATTTTTTTTTTTTTTATTATTATTATTGTAAACTGTCATTGAAAGGCTCCATGTACCCAAGAGTTTCCCTTACACACCGCATAATTATAGCAAGTCACTCTGCGTTAAAGAATTATACTCATTTAGCCTGGTTTCAGTGAGCACATTTAATGTCCTCTGCTGTTTGATATTTTTCTACATTAGGAAGATTAAATTCAACATTTGTTGGTCAGACCACCACTTTCATCCAGACTGAAATATCTCAACCATTATAGGGTTTATTTTTTTCTTCATCCATGAATCCTGCTGGTTTTAGTGAGCCTCTGACTGTATCTCTAGTGCCACCAGCAGGTCAAACTTCTCACTTCTTCTCTGAAATCAGTATTTATTTGACGGATTGGCACCAAATTTTGTACAAATATTCCTGTTTCTCAGACCATTAAATCTTATAACGTTTCCTCTTGGCAAGACTGCTACGCAAACAGCTGTTAACGCTAACGGTGGCTATGTAGCAATAGCAAAACTAACATGTAGCTCCTTTAAGAGGATGAACTGTAAAAAGTGTAATCTACTGTGTTTAGTGTTAATTAGCAAATGTTAGCATGCTGACACCCTGACTTTAGACCGCTGAACAGAAGTGTGTTAGCATTGAGGCTGTACTTAGGCACTGTGGTGCTATCACTCACAGCTGCTAGCATGGTTGAATTATAACAATATATACAGGTATTTCACATCAGGACAAAATATTTGCTACTGTTCATGTCCGATAATTAATGTTACCTATTAAAATAGTTCTATTTGGTCATAGTGTGTAACGTTTAAAAGCACACGGTACTGTCTGCAGCTTAAATCGAAAACAATATATGTTTTCACTGCCAAGGCGAAAATTCACTGACATGATATGAAATGTTTCTGTGGTATTTAATTCCTTATATTTCATGGTCCTCATCATCATTTGGCCTTTAACCCCTTAAAACAAATATACACGCGGTCCACCATCATATTCTGGATATGCACAGTGGTGAGGTTCAACCAAAGATTGGTTTTCCCTGTTTAGGATATTTTGTGATTAATTGTCAGATGTGGCAGATTTATTTGCACACAGTTGACATAATAAATGGGTACAGTGGATAAGAGTTACTGTATCTAATTTTTCAGCTTGAGAACCATTGGTCTATTGCTCTACATGGCATTAGCGATGCTAAAATTGTTCTAACCATGGGAACTGAAAATGCGGGAATAAATCAGATTTACAACGCAGAGTACCAAAGAACCAAATGAAAAATTTTCCCTAACTACATGAAAAGTGTGTATTTTATATTTTCTTCCATAAATCACACACATTATAATCCCAAACTGAACTAGCTATCCAGTCCCACAGGAGCCAGTGTATTACAGTCTGTGAGCCATTTCCATTATATTAAAGACTGTGAGTCGTATATTGTATTCTTGATGTGTGTCAGTTCCAGTCATCCAGTTCCATAGGAGCCAGTGTATTCCTGTCTATATTAATTACAGACGATGGCCCTCCTCCCCCTGCGGCTTGCTAACACAGAGCAGTGTGGGTCAGAGTGGTTGAGCATCCCACAGGGGGAAAAACAAACACTGGATTTGCACAACCTCGCGCTCTGTGTGAGAGGCTGATTTATTGAAACCCTCGACAGCGGTTACTGTAATGTGTTGCCCTGGTGTGGTTAGCCTGATGTGAGTTCATTGCCGTCTTGTCATCAGTCAGTAGACAAAGCCAAGGCTCAGTGTTTTTGTATATCTGGATCAGTCTTCGATATTCAGTTTTTCAAAAGAAAACAGGCCTTTGGGAAATTTAGAAACTAGTCTTTCGGAGAATGAATTTACTTCTGCTGGTGATGCAGCCTCAGGAATAACTTGTACTGCAAGTGTCATCTGAACTTGATACTGACACAGAACTGGATAGTTTTGTTGAAATCTTTGGCTCTGACAGTTCATTGATGTGGTGTTGCTGCACTTTCCCAGAGGTCAGCAAAACAGCCTTGGGATTTCATGTTGAGAAAATTTCAAATTCTCTTATTTTCTGGTCATTGCTCTTGATAACCACTCTCTTTTCTCCTTCACCGTTGCATCTGGAAACGTCAAATGCATAATTGTGCACCGGAAGATTTTTCCCAAGAAAGAAGAGCCAAGTACGTTAAGTGTTCTACCCAGAAAATGTAAATGCTCTCATGAAAAGTATGTATATTGGTATGTTAACAATGGGTCAGGAGAATTATAATCCAGCTCTGCAGTTCCCCTCCGCTGTATGGCGTGTTCTCGGGGGAGTTTAAGCTTTCGGCTCCAGAGGGAGCTGAGCAAAAAAATGAGAAAACTGCCTTAAGTGATGTCACTTGAGTCAGCATTTGTTGGGGCTGAAGGCTACAAGTTTGAAAATGGAAAACATCTGTGGTTGTGACGTTATAAAGAAGTGAGCTCTGTAGCCTGCTCCTCATGTCTGACTGAGGCTTGTGGCAATGAGGCTACAGTAGCCACTACTGACACATCAAACCTGAATCTTTGAATGAAACGTTGGCTGTTGAGTTGCACTGTGGGTAATTCAGGTGACAGGTAGAAAAGAAAAAAAAAAATGCAGGAAATATTGCATCGATTTTGAGTCTTTCTGATGCTTTTCTTGGCTAGTCTTGTGATATGAAATCTGAAGTCTCAATTCATGGCAACACGATAAAGAAAGCTCAAAAAGCTACCAGCAGTTAAGGCAGAAAGAAAGCAAAGCTCAGCGGCTGATGAAAACGTTAGTCACTTTAATTAGTTTATGGATGGAGAGCAGGACATCAAGAGGGATTATGTACTGCAACAGGCTAACTCAATAGCACAACAGTTCAGAGAAACCAGTGCACTGCAACGAAACATACAGACACACATTGTGTACTCTACATACACAGACATAACACACACATAACACACACCTCGTAGTGGTAGTCCATGCAGGTGAGGTCTCTCCAGCATTTGTCCCCTCTGATTTTAATGAGACCCTAGAAAAGACAAAATAATAATAATATAATAAACTTTATGTGTTTTACAAAAAGAAATAAAACCAGGCAAGGCAAACATGAGCACAGAGGAAGCAAAAACATAAGAATTTAGATGAAAAAACACACACACACACACACACACACACACACACACACACACACACACACACACACACACACACACACACACACACACACACATATCTGTTGAAAGCTTGCACCACATTTCGAATTAGCTCACAAAATGTCAGAGAGAGGATTTTCCCATCTTAAAAGAGAAAATAAAACTCAATCAGGACCGAAAATACAGAGAAATGTGTCTCGGCCCTGTGCCTGTTCTTCACCAAATGAACCAAATGAAGTAAATAGTGCGTTATCAAGGACACGAGATTGTCAATACTGATACATTAGCCCATCATGTGGTTGGCATGGAATGTGGAATGAATCGGCCGCTAACCTCTCTAACCAGATTTGGAAAAAAACAGGACATTTCATACTGATAATGAGCTTGGCTGTTGGCTGCAGCTGCTGGCTGTCGAGGTGCTGCAGCCAAAGATGTTGCGGCTAATCTAATTCAATCATGAGATCCTGAAATGTCATCAATTAAAACCTGATATCCAGACCTCTGACATAAACAGAGCTGTCTGCCAGCCGTCCAGAGCCCCGGGGAGAGAATACCTGTGTGAATCCAACAGGTTTCCTTGAGGAGCACCACTAGACGAGCACCAGCGGATTAAACTGAGAGTTTTAACAGATATATTTCTGCACAATTATGATCCAGCTTTTTTTGCCCTGCCCCTATGTGAACATGGCTAATTGTATTCAGTGTTCATGAAGCACTAAAATCAAATTAGCGACACTTTTTGTAGCTTATCGCCTGATTACCCTCACAATCAGCTGCTGCTGTAAACAAGCTGCTGCAGCTCGAATTAAAAAGAGCATCCGAGCAGCTTAATGTCCCACCACAATGTGTTATAGTAACCATACCCAGCTATGCCAATGGGACAACAATAAAGGTAATCAATGTCAACATGCGTGATTAGCATAATATATGACCATCTCACATTTCTTTTTGTTTTTGCAAACCAAAAATCTGCTCTTTCAAGTTCGGTACAGACGTGCAGGACTTGCAGGAAAAGCCTGTGAGACCGAGTTTGGTAACTTGCAACTTTTCCATAGACAATGCAGTGAGTACTGTAAGCACGTTGGCTGCAAATTCTATGTCGTATATTCTACGTAAAGTCTATGATGTTTGAATGCGAGTTTGTCGTCTATCCAAATACCAAGGTCAAGATATTCTGTAACCCTCTCAGTAATGGATCTTTTTTTTTTTACAGTGGAAACATGAGAGTTACCGCAGCCAGCAACAGACAATGAGCAGACAATATACAATATAATATAAAAAATATGTGCAAATGATTTTCAAAAGTGTTTGACAATTTGTGGGTAGTTTATATTGTTTACAAAATCATTGTCCAATCTACAAACAAACACCAAACTATATATATATATATATATATATTTATATGATATGAGAAAATTTGACTGTGAAAAATCACTTTAAAAATATTTTAATATGTTAATTATTGTCTTGTCTCAGGGTGACAAGCTGTTTATTTCTTGTGCTAAAAAAAAAAAAAAAAACCACACACAGAACGTCCCGGTTTCCCACCAGCATTTACAGTATATTTATTTGCACAGGAAACTTTGTCAGATCTACGACCCTGAAGTTAAATATACGGTACATATGCAAAATACTGACATTTTTTCAAGTCGTGTTGTAAAAACGGTTTTACATTTGTTTAGAGAGACGCCTGAGAGAGGAGATGTAAAACTACACTGAGATGGTTTTTGGTTCTTAAAACCACAAATAAATCTTTTTCTTCTCGACACTTTAAAATAAAACAGCAGAAAAGTAAAGTGCAATATACGGGACCTTTAACAGTTGCCACCGTGTCAGCATGCACCGTGCAGTCGGGACAAAATAAAGGGGCATAACTTTACATCAGAGATTAAACCATGTCAGCAGTAACCAGTGTGACAACTTGGGACATTTCTTAGTCACGCTCCAAAAATACATTCATCATTTCACTCATGTCCTATGACTGACGGGTCCTTTGAAGTGCACGCTGAGCCAAATCGTCCTCACAGGCAGGAACTCTGTCACAGCAGTCACAGAGCTACGGTGAACCGCAGGCGGTCGGGCAGGCAAACGACTGTGACCAGAGCAGATCAAACACTGAAGGACTGTACTGCCGGTGGTCAACGAGTCCTTGCTCTGCTCCAGCACTGCAGTTTCAAACAATGAGATCTCTGCCATCATAACCTCATGTACTAACTAATGGTGTTCAGTTCACCTTCCAGTTAAGCATTTTGGATAAAAAAAAAAACCCTTAGTAGAGCCTAAAACTCGATCTATAACTAGTCTTCAACTTACAAAAAAATCATTGATGCACAGCGAGTACAGAGAGAACCAAACCATTTCTAGTAACGTTTAATGTCTAACTGAATTTTTAAGCTTCAAATAATAAATAAACACCAGCTACATGAATTAAAGCGTATACGTGTGGTATCAAGAGTTCAGAATAATCCAAAAACACGCCATAATTCAATGATAAAACATTATATTTCTACAATGAATGATTCTGTAACAGTCAGAGCAGATGAAGCGTTTCGAAACAGGGAGTGTGTAACGTCTGACAAAGCTCATCAGGGCATAGTGAGAGAAGTCATGTCTTTTCAGCTGTGAGCCCCTCGGAGCGACCTGGAGCTGAGGTGCGACCCCTGGGCTGCAGCTCCCTTCATGGTCTTAATAGGAAAAACCCCACTGGGTTTGTGGCGACTGCCGTGATTGGCAGATAAAACCTAGTCGGTGGTCTGAAATTCACCATGGAAACTGTCAAACAACCAGACATGTTGTTTAGCCGACCATATATTTGGGTTGGATTTCCAAATACTGGCAGGGTTTTATAGCAAAGCACAGCTCCAAAAGTAACGGTCTAAAATCAGGAGGACAAACACTGGAATATCCCAGGGAATTATGCTGTTGAGAAATAGTTTCATTTCTTCACACTGGCTCGCTGGATGTATCCAGGTGTGTATATGTGTGTGTATGTCATGAACATGCCTTTCTGCTTGAATTTACAGTATTTGCTTCCTTCCTAGACAGAAATATCCACGTCTGTGCAGGGTCTCCCCACAGGAAATGTGTTAGTCAAGGTGCTGCTGGCAGTAAAGGGGTTTCAGGAATGGGAGAGCCCCTGAGTAAATTCCATTTGATTAGTTTTTATTGTGTTTGACAAGTTCAATAACCGCTACGAGAAGTTCTATGCAGAGAAAAAGTCGATAAAAAGTTATTGGTTTGCAAAAGCATGAAGGAAACGTTTATTAAATAATAAAAATACTTTTAAATATTGGATAATAGAAGCTGTAAAGCATCACTCCTTTTTGTGTTTTCTGTCCTATCAGTTATTTTCCTCACTTTAAGGCGTCCACACACTGACTCTATGGAGTTGCAGGAATCATTCTATATATTAGTAAAATGTTTTACTCACAGCTCCCAGCATGATGCGGACAATGAGCCACCTGAAGGTCCAGATGCAAATGAGTGAGGGGGGGCAGCGGCGGGGGACCTGGGACAGAGTCCAAACTGGACACAAGAAAATGGCCAGGAAGCCCGTCTCCAGCAGCTGGCTCTCCCAACCTGGACAAATCATCACAATGTTTAAACGTCAAGTTCTTTTCTAAAGGTTCAACGGGCCACACAGAACAGACAGCGCTTAATTCAACAGGCCACACAGGTTATAACAAAAGGACAGACTGCGGTGCGTCAGAGCAGTGCTTCTCAAAGTGGAATCCCCAGGGGTCCTTGAAGGGGTTCCTGGGGGGTCCCCAGCAAAAAGGGGAATAATTAATTTTCACTATAATTCCATCCATAAGTAACACAATAACAGGATGTATGACTATTTTGGTCACGGGTTTGTGTAATGAAACACCTCAAAGCAAAAATGATCTTATCAAATGGGGTTTCCTTGATGTGAAAGTTTGAGAAGCACTGCTTTAGAGGAAGCCAGGGGGGTGAACGATGGACAGATCCACTATAATCTACTATATCTTATAAATATACTATATCTTATAAATCTTTTTTTAAGACTCACTTTTATTTATTGACTGTTGTTTTTATTCTGTTTTAGTTTGATTTTATTATTTGTATTTCTGTCTTTATTGTAAAGCAATTTGTAACTTTGTTTTTGAAAGGTGCTATATAAATAAAGTTATTCTCATCGTTATCATTATTATTATCATTGTAAAAACTAGTGTATAAACTGCTCTTTCCATGTATTGTTGTCATATATATATATATATATATATATATATATAATGTAAACAGCCTCATTTAGTCAGTTTTATACAAAAGCTTTTCTTGGTGGAGATTAAGACACATTAACCAACAGTGTCACTGGTGCTTACTTACTAATTTATTTTAAACATATGATGAGAATAGCCTTCGTTTAGCATGTATTTAGTGATGAACTGTGAAGTGATGGATGAACTGAAAATCAATGATGACATGATGACATTAACTGAAAAATGCAAATCATGCTGAGGAGTATTTGAATGTCTGAACCAATTTCATGGTGATCCATTCAATAGTTGTTGGGATATTTAAGTGTGGACCAAAGTGGCCCAGCTGACCCACAGACCGGCGCTGCTATTCCTAGAACCACGTTGCTAGCAGGACTGAAAAAAAATCCAATATAATTTGATTATATTCAAGTTTACCTTACTAAATGCCATATTGCAGCTCTGAATTTTTTCAAGCGGGTGAACAGTGTCTGCCACTAATGACGCAAACAGCACAAACCTCTGGCCTCTGGTTTGCAGTCTAGACTTGGGAACAATTGGAGGAGCTCAGTCTGCAGACTTAAAGTTGCACTGTCAGCCATAGGGTGATAATAGGTCCAAAAGAAAAGAGGGAGTGAGGGAGAAAGACAGTGTGAGTGAGAGAAAAAGAAATAAAAAAATTGTTTTTAAAAAAGAGAAATAGAAGCCGCAGCTCCCAACCACAGACATCAGCCTGGCGTCTCCGACTACAAAGTGTCATTAACCAGTCAGAGAGCTGCCACTGACCTCGCCACTTATCTGGGCCAGAGCCCTGCATGTAGCCTCCTATTTATACTTTCTTACTTCTTTCCTCTCCGTCCTCCCTTGCTACTGTTACATTCATGACGGTGTACTGGGTTCACCGAGTTAGGGGCTAATGTACTGTACGTCAATAAACCTTAATTCTGTCAGTGACTGGGTTTTAACTCAATAACTGGCTGTAAACAGTTCGGGAAACAATCACGAGAAAGCTGGTGGAGAGATTCAGAAGCATAAGTAGAGTAGTTTTATGAGCGGTGATTATATTGTATTATGGTTATGATCCATGACTCTACGTCTGCATGATTCCCAAGGATAAAACAATTTACGATCTTTTCATTCTTTGGGATCAATTCTCACCAGAATCATACTGAGTGCCCATTTCAACCCTCTCTGAATGAAATAATAGGATTGGCTAAACATCTCTTTACAAATATGTTCATTTCTACTCCAAAAAACATCATGAGTGTCCTCACGGTTACGGTAACACCGCTTCTCCAGACACATATGGAATGACGGTGTTGGCCGATGAGCGACCACCCGCGGTGTCGATGTTCTTCATGGATCTCATGGTTGTTTTCACAACGGTCCAGTCAGGGTCTCCACAAGCTTTAAGTGCTTCCTGCGGGTTTTTGTGTTCCTGGACACTTGTCGGCACGTTGTCAGCTCGCTGTTGTTGGGGTTCTGATAACTCCTAGATCATCTTCCCAGACTGTTTCCAGTAAACTTTTAAGTTGAGTGGGCGAATTGGGATTTACAGAGTAGGTAGTCTTGCAGTTTTCATTCTTCTTTTCTTCCATCTCTTCATACTTCGACTGAGTCTTCATACTAATTCAAGGCAGCAACGCAGTTCAGCTTCGGTTTGTGCAGGAGCAGCAAATCCCACTGCGGTTCCTAGTTATCAATAACACCAACAAGTGTTTATGTAGCACCAAATTATCACACATATATGAACACTGGCCAGGTGTCATCAAACGCACCACAAGTCTCAGTCGTGGTGAGTACAGTACTAGTAAAACTTAACTTAACTTTTCTTTTAATTGACCCGGTCTCAAGCCTCTGGTCCATGATCTTGTCCGTCGTCCATGTTTGATAGTTAATAGGCTGATAACTGGTGAAGTTTAGCACAGTCCCGGGGCAAGCTAACCGTTAGCTTCATCCACATTTCCTTTCAAATGTCGCGCTGATCATTTTTGACGTAAATCGTTAAACAAAAACTGTAAACTGGTGAAACAGTGTCGCAAAACAGCCAGTTACATTGCAGAAGTCAAACTACACTGCAAAACAGCTAATTCAAATGATAATGTTTGAATTTACATACAAGTTGAGTTCGTAATGAAAACAACACATATGAAATACTTGCTACTCGGTTTTGTGGTCACTCGCAAACAGTTTGAGAAACACAAAATTTAAGATATGATATCTTAACAAAGTGACTTGCGGACCACAAGGGGTCGCTTGCGGATCACTGGTGACCACTCTTTGAGAGAGGCAGGTCTAAAGTATGCATGTATGAGATTGAGGGACTTTATCACATGACTTTCACTATAAACAAACTGAAACGGTATCCAAACCTGTGAGTGTTTCACATAAATGTTTTGCCTCTGATCCACTTCGTCTAACTGACGAGGAGGAGCGAAGAAAGTTCCTGGATTCTGTTTTAAGGCTGAAAACTGTGCGAGTCACTGGGTGTGGATGATGAAGTTCACTTACCGAAGGAATACCTGAGGAAAAGAAAAGAAAACAGAGCGGACAAAGCAAAATAAGAATTCTGATGCATTCTTTAACATTATCAAACAGCTAGAATGAACTAAATGTAATGGTTATTTTCTTTATTATTATCAGTAGCATTATTATTATTATTATTATTATTATTATTTTCTTCTTTATTTAACTTGGAAGAAGCAGAACAAGCTGAAAACGCAACTAGGGCTGCAACTAACGACACTTTCATCACTGAGTCATCTGATGATTTATTTTTCCAAAGTAACTGATTCATTGTCTTGTGTGTGAAATGTCAAGAAAACTGTGAAAAGTGACCATCACAACTTCCCATAACCCCAACTGACACTTTCAAAGTGTTTTGTTCAACCAAGTCCCACAACCCAAAGCTAATCACTTTACAATGACGAATGAAGAAAAACAGCAGCTTTTTTTCTAACTATTGATTATGCTCTAACTATAAAACTATAAAACTAGTTCTGATCTTGTAAATAAAAGTATAAAAGCATAAAATATAAAAGTTGTTCTCATTTATTTATGGCAGGTAAAGTTAAATGAATGTATTATACGATTATGGATATGATGTTTGAAAACATGAGCAGAGGACTCCGACTCTTTTAATGCACTACACTAAAGGAGAAGAATAAAATTGCTGGAATTAACTACATTTGACTAAATCTGTCCATCCCAGACTCACCACAGCTGCCCCACGTTGACCAGCGAGTGGTAAAGCAGCCACAGCGTCGCCATGATCATCATATTGGCCATTCCTGTCACCAGCACGAACGCCGACAGAGCCATCCCCACCAGGGCGATGCCGTCCAGGTTGGCGTCCATGTCGCCCCAGTCCAAGAACCAGAGGATGGACGGCGTGTAGGCCAAGGCGGCCAGGCCTATCTTTCCCCCGACGTAGCGCTTGACACTGTTGAGGTAGTTCTTGCAGGGCATCAGACCGTGCTCACCGATCAGTTGCTTGTTCTGGTTGTAAGCAACGCCGAACGCCACCACTACAGAAGAAGATGATGGAGAAACAAACAAATACACTGAACTTTTTTAAGTCTCAATTTTATCCTAAATGGAAAGTGCTATGAAGATGAACAATTTGCATCAGCAGGAATTTTAATTAACAGCAGCAAAAAAAAAAAAAATTACACAAGTGAGAGTTGTCTTCACATTTTAAAATTGCTCGGTTTGGGCTCAGGACTTTGACAGGGATGTGTGTGTGTTCACCTCTTGTGATTGTGAAATACTGTGGCCCTGAGAGCTCAATGTGCAGTGCAGCGGGTTTCTGTATTTGTTTGTGTTGTGTGCATTTACAGCCCAGGTGTTGTCAAACTGATGAAGATGTTTTCCTGAATTTTGTTTGTGTTTTCTTCAGCTGCAGAGCTTTTGAGCTCTCAGGGCCACCGTAAAAAACACCTGGTCCGTGTTCCACACCACACACCTGTGCTCATGCTGTTTTGGCTGTGTCTGAAAAACTGAACTGGACCACCGCTCAGGTTTCTGAACGTCACTCAGTTTGTGATAATTTGATCAAACACAACTTTATTTTACAATATAAACTAAAACATCAAATGCATTTTCCGCAGAATACAGACGCGCAGTTTAATGCCTGTTTCTGACTGTATTGCAAAGTATTTCTAAGATGAGAAGTTGAGGACACTTACAGTAAATAAAGGCGACGGAGCGCAGCAGCACGATCCGGGTGAGCCAGTAAGTCCCGGTCCGTAGAGACTCGGGTCTCTTTCCGGTCTCTGTGTCTTTGCTGGTGTCTGCTCCATGTTGTCTACAGCTGTCAGCGGACTCTGGCTCTGTCTTTCTGCTGTCGACACGTCTTTTCCTCACAGAGCTCTCTGAACTGCCGCTGCTGGCCGCCATGTTCACCGAGGTGACGGTCACGTGACTTAACAGACGCGGAAGTCATTTTTTCAATTTTGATTATTATTATTAGTAGTAGTAGTAGTATTGTTGTTGTTATATATATTTTTTATTTTTGCTTAAGAGAAATGCAATGTTACCAAGACTCAATACAGAAAACTGAATAAATATCATTATCATTATAATTATTATTATTATTATTATTATTATTATTATTACTATTATTATTATAATTAGTAGTAGTAGCCTAGTAGTAGTAGTAGTAGTAGTAGCCTTATACTTTGATTATTATTATCATTATTATCAATACTACAAATAATAATAATCGTGCAATAAAATAAATAAATAGGATGTTGCAGTATTGAAATGTGTGATGCACGAGTTAACACTTTAACTGAGGGAATTCGCTTTCAATAAAGAATAAAATAATCCTTTAATCATATTATATTATATCATCCGGTGGGTTTTTACTCATGCATTAATGTGAAAGCAGTATTTTAGTATTATACTTGCTCATTGTTGAGCTAACCTGAAGCACATATTTATATTGGTGGGCAGTTTAATGGATAACAATAGTCTGTATCATCTTTTGTTTATCTAATATCAAAATAGTTACTGATGTCAGATAAATGTTGGATGTGGATTAAAAAGCACATTTGTCCCTCAAATGCAGCATAAATGGAAATCCTCTCGTAAAGAATATTATTTTCTGCCTCTGAACTTGGACAAATCAAATCCAGCCATAACTTTTATTGAGCAGACTAGGCTTCTATCCAAAGCATCATAAAAATTTTAAAGTTTTAAATTCTAAATCTGATATTAACTACTAACAACTCTCTGCCTCCTCCTACTTCTTCTTGCCAAACTAGGAGGTACTCTGCTGGTAAAACTTTGCACAAGCCAATAGCAAACGAGGGGTGGAGAGGTGCAAGTTCTAAAGAGCGTTAAAGAGCTGAAAAAGAAAACAGTGGCTCGTCAAACTCTGTCTCGCTTTGGAAGAGGGTGTGGAAAGGAATGGCAAGTTCAAGACAAGAAATGTGGGATTTTACTTGACTTCGTGGTGAAACAGTCTTCCTGCAGAGCCGTGCGCCTTTACGCACGGAATTTCGGCAAATTCTTGCAGCTTTTTTACTGGGCAAACATGACAGAAGAGATCAAGTCATTGACGGAGCATCCATGCAGTCCAGTCGGCAGCGACAGCTCCATGTCCCCGCATGGTTCGGATTCAGAGTCTCTAGTGTCTCCGGCAGGGTCGGACGCACAAGGGACTGCGTCTGGTAATACGCATAAGGTTGAGAGCAGCACGGAGGATGAGCGCTTCCCAGCCTGCATTCGCGACGCGGTGTCACAGGTGCTGAAAGGTTACGACTGGTCGCTGGTACCGATGCCCAGTCAAGGGGAGAGAGGGCTGAAAAACAAACCTCATGTTAAACGACCGATGAACGCTTTCATGGTTTGGGCGCAGGCAGCGCGCAGGAAGCTGGCGGACCAGTATCCTCATCTGCACAACGCTGAGCTCAGTAAGACGCTGGGTAAACTGTGGCGGTGAGTACTGGAACTCAATTGGAGTCTCAACGTCAGACAATGAGCAGTTAGTAGCCTACTGCATGCAACTCAATTTGAAGACCACCACAGTTTGTGTTTCTACGGCAAAATCCTGGTGAATTTCGTTCCAAAATGAGAATGAAAATGTGACAACTCCTAAGACAGTATTACTGGCGTTATTAAGCACAAAATTAGATTAAGTAATTTGCTGCTGACTTACTGTATTACACTAGTAAAAAATATTGGTTGTAAAATATAAATCAAATATAAAAATACCCCTGTGTAATACAAAACATATTAATAAAAGACCAAATGAAAGACGAGTAACACATTCTCCCTTACTGGTCAGTTGCTAATGTAAGTATGAAAAACATGAAAAAATAAGTAAGTAGCCTAAATAAATATTTCCTTGTATCTTTACAAAAAAAATTACAGTATAGCAAAATAAATCACGTTTGTTTTCTTCAGGCCCAGTATACACCCAGTTCCACGGCCTGACTCTGGCCCATATACAGCATGATTGTAAGATGCTACTTCCACATCTGGACCAACTCTGGTGCACACACAGAAAATCTTCCAGCTGTCAGTCAATACCTGCCCACATGTGGAAGTACTCGGGCCAGAGGAACCAGACATAAGAACTTTCATTTTGCTATAAAAAATACTCCATTGCAAATAAAAGTCCTGCATTGAAAATGTTGCTCATGTAAAACTAAGTATCAGGTCTAGATTAAATATTAAGTAAAAAGTATTATTAGCAAAATTTGAGTGTTATACCATTATGAATTATATTGTTGGATGATTCTTACAGATGCATCAAGTTGCATTTGTTGTAGCTGGTCAGTGTGGAGGTAATTTGAACTATGTTACATACTTTTGGGTGGTATGTAGTGGAGTAGAAGTATAAAGAGGCATGAAATGGAAATACTCATATAAAAGTACAAATGTTAAGTGCAGTAGCCAACTTGGGTGACCTAGTTATATTCCACTACAGCATATAATATATATAGAGCAAAATATTATTCCCACAGTGAAATTATAACTTGGCATTATTGACATCAAAAATACGGTGAATGCAAAGTGTAGAAATGTCACTGAAAATAATTCTAATTTATCATTTCCTGACTTTTTTTTTTTTTTTTTTTTTAGAGAATGCTAATGCTGTTTTTTTCAATAATGAATTTAGACAGAAAAAGCACTAACATGTACCCATGTCGGATGCTGGTATTTAAATTAACTTCCAATAATCCAGTAAACCCCCCCCCCCCTCTCTCCCCTTCAGGCTTCTCTCTGAAACAGAGAAGCGTCCTTTCGTCGAGGAGGCAGAGAGGCTGCGGCTACAGCACAAGAAGGACTACCCAGACTACAAGTACCAGCCTCGGAGACGCAAGAGCACCAAACCGGGTCAGGGGGACTGTGGAGCAGGACTGGTCCAGCAGCAGCATCAACAGGGCTTGTATAAGACAGAGCCTGGGGTGGCCAGGCTGGCTGGAACGGGGGATGTACACCATCATTATCATCCAGACAGGACAGGTGAGACACTGATCACATCCATGTTAATAAAGTTTAATACTCTTGTACCCTTTTATGCTTCAGCGTGGAAATATTGATTGGTGCTTTCTTCGTTTATGGTTTCCAGGTCAGTCTCATGGACCTCCAACACCTCCCACTACCCCTAAAACCGACCTCCACATAGGAAACAAACATGACGCCCACCGGCTTGTGGACGGCAGCACCGGCTCCGCTCCTCCTCCCAGCCGTCAGAACATTGACTTCAGCAACGTGGACATCTCCGAGCTCAGCACTGACGTCATCAGCACCATCGATGGATTTGACGTCCATGAGTTTGACCAGTACCTGCCTCCCAACAACCACGGCTCCGCTGTTCTAACCCCGCCAGATACCAGCCACACGCATAACAACCCCTCTGGATCATTCATCCTACCCAGCATCCACTCCCACAGCATTCCCCCTTGGACTCCCAAAACTTCTGGTGCGTCTTCCACTGGAATGCCACCATCTTCTTCCAGTCGTGACACCCATGGGCCCCATGAGGACACCAGCCACAAACCTCAGATTAAAACTGAGCAGATGAGCCCAGGTCACTACAGCAGCTCCTCCTCCTCCACTCCTCCGCCACCACAACCAGAGTACACCTCCCTCAGCTCGGGTGCCTGCCCTTACCCAAGCTCCTCCACTTCTTCCTCCAACCAATCTGACCACACTGACCTTCAGAGCTCCACTTTCTACAGCGCCTTCTCTGGGTACCCTGCCGGTCTGTATCAATACCCGTACTTCCACTCCTCCAGAAGGCCCTACGCCACATCGCTTATCAACAGCCTGGCCTTGGCACCACCTCCGCACAGTCCTCCCTCTGGCTGGGAGCAACCTATCTACAAAACACTCACCAGGCCTTGAAGAAGAGGATACAATAAATTTAGTCATATAAACAAAAACTACTTATAGTTTGTGAAGTTTGAAGGAGCTTAAAGACAATTTTTGGAGATTTGCTGACATTTTTATCTTATTAAGAATTATTTTTCAAAGGTTTAGACCAGTTTGGATTTGCGAGGGACAGTGCTAGCAGCTGTCAGCCAAATGGCTCATATTGTGCGTCAATGTACTATTAAATTTGTTCATTTTCATGGAAAAAAAATTCTAAAGAACAAAGATTCAGTGTTTTGTCTCTTTACTGGGCAAAAAGGTCTGTGAAATGTCATTTGAACTCTTATGCAGACTAAAACGTTCCATTAAAACTCCACACTAATGAAATTTTGGTGTGTGAGTAGCTCATATATACAGCAGGGTGTTGCAGATTTAATAGCAGTTTTTCCACACTTAATCTGGCTGGAGTAAAAATAGTTTCCTCACCTTCACCTTCATATTGGTGGGATCAAGGTATTTTTTTTCTTCTTTTAAATATAGGCCTACAGCAGATATGTCAAGGTTCTGCATTATTCACTACAGATTCTTTAGCTAGCAAGAAAGTTTATGAACCATAGGGGCAGAGAGATTGTTTAGCAAATAGTTCCTGATTTTATGTTGTTAGCATTCTTGCTGAGAGTTATATGAGAAGATCAATTCCACTCCTGCTTGTATATAAAACTACAGCTAGCAGGCAGTTAGCTTGGGCTAGCATCAAAACTGGATGCAGGGGCAAACAGCTAGCTAGCTAGCGCTGGATTATTTCTTGGTTGAAACTAGTTATTTCCTGGAGTCATGTGATAACCTTCCTGTAAAACCACAACCTGCTGCTCTTTTTATTTTTTTGTTTTTTTAAGTTATGTGTTAGAAAGTTTTATAGTTCACTAATAGGAAGAGCCATGGTAGCTGTTTCCAGTCTTAATGCTAACCACCTCCTGGCTGTTAGCACACAAGTATGAGGGTTTTTTGATTCTCTCATTTGTCTCTTGGTAATAAATTTCCTAAAATATCAAGATATTCAATTTAACAGCAAAAAGGTGTTATTGCAAAACAACTTATTTACATAAATTTGACTGCTTTGTGAGCATAAAACAGAAACAGAATAGAGAGAGAAGAAAAACTTAATCGTCTTGTAGTGCTTGTGAGATTTAGTGTTTGATTGTGTCTGTATCCAGAAAAAAGGCCATCAAATGTCCTGTAGTATCAAATGTCATTTAGTTTAACTATCTCAGTGAATTCACAATACATTTTTCTTTCTCACACATTTAAGGTGACATTAGGTGCAGGGTCCCAAGGGTCAGAATCAATAGATTCAAATCTGATCATATCACTAAAGTATTTTCTCCCCTGGCTGGACTTTTTACTCTTACTGTTGACCTGTCCCTGACTGCTGCTTCATATTCAGTTTGTTTCCAGTCCAACAGCTGCTCCTGCTGGCTTTCCTGGGAGGGGATTAGCTAATTTCACAGTCCCAGCTCTGGTTGGATTATTGACAGCAGGTCCTGATGGACAGGACAGCTGGACTGGGTTTTCCAGAGGCACTGTAAACGCTTCATCTTATTGATCAAGTCTGACGTTAATGTGTTCTTAAGCTTATCTAAATGGTCGAAAAGAGGAAGTCCTACACTAAAAGGATGTTCTAAACTATTTTTTTTTTAATGAACAAATGGTTAGAACATAAGAACAACAAAAAATTTAATTAGGGTTATTCTTATAATATTCAAGCAGATATTTTACCATAACTAAATGTTTGCTGCATGTGCCAGTGCCTCACTGGCCATATTATCTTCAGGACAAACACGGCGGCTGCTGAGCCGAAGTCCCACCCGCTTTTAAATGCTTCCTGTGCGGGTTCAATCTGGCTGCAGCAGCTCAGTGGCTCACTGTCCGAGCAGTTTACCATGACAACCTGGTTGCCAACGACAACACAGCAGCCAGACAGAAGCAACATTGATTTACCCATAATTCCGTAAGGCCCTGGAGCCAGCATGTGCATGTGGAAGTTTGTGTAAGAGTGGCGAGAACATCAGGTGACATTTACACCAGCAGACCTTTCAGTCCACACTTTGTCCTGCTGTGAGTGTGCAACTCTACACGTCTCTAGTTTCCCCTTGCAGTGACTGATGAGCGCCATCTACTGTAATATGGAACAAGTGAACAGCCTCAGGCCTTTAGGAAAGTACTGAAGTGCTGCGTCCTCCATAATGACCATCTGCATATAGTTCCATGAAAAATTAATTTAAAAAGAAAGAAGAAATCTAGGATTTTTCAAGTCTGCAGAACTCCTCTGGAGAACCTGAGCACAGCATCTGAAAGATGTTACCTCATTTGGTGCATTGATTATAGTAATGGAGAGCAAGGTGTTTATTTGGCTTGAAATCTGGCTGTTTAGAACATTTTCATTCAAGTTTTTTTTTCCTTTAAAAGTATAGTTTAAGTTTGGGAAATAGGCCTATTCACTTTCTTACTGCCAGCTAGATGAAAAGATTGTTACCACTCTCATGACTGTGCATCACAGCAGGTGTGGAAGTAGAGCCACAAGGCAATTAGCCTAGCTTAGCTTAAAGAATGGTGGAAGCAGGGTAAAGTTAATCACCATACCTACCAACACCTCTAAGGCTTAACAATTATCACATATCTTGTTTGTTTAAAATCTTCATTCTGATGATTTCAGTGACAAAAATGTGATCTCCCTTTTAAAGCAGCAGAAGAGCTCCATCTGCTGGACAAAAGGGGCATACTGCACTTTCAATACAGAGATGCCTTCACAGTACACAATCTAAAAAAAAAGAAAAAAAGAACTAATACCTTAAGATGTTTTTCATCTGAAATTGTTGGTTATGTAGTCATGAGCATGTAATGTTAAGAAGTACTTGAGTTTTGGCTTTTAAGCATAATTCTGGTTTATTTCAACTTGGGTCTTGGTTTTATAGCTTTGGCTGTCATTTCTTTCTGATAACCTTGTGCTCATCAATCATTGCTAACAAGGCGAGAAACACAAGGCTAACACAAAGGCTTGTTATTTATCTGTGTTTCTTGCCATATTTTCATCTCAGCAATTCACTTGTTTTTGGTATTTTGTCTTGTGTATATTTTGTTGGGTTTTGTGTATTTGTATAAAGGCCATTCTACAGTAAGGACAGGGATTTCAAAGTAGCTTAGGCTCTGAATTCTATGATGTGACATTGTTTCATACTATACACCCAATATATCGTCCGTATAAATATAAGCATTAAATAAATAAATCTGCAATAAAATAATAAAATAATAATAAAAATAATAAATAAATGTTGCAAATCGGAATGATAGCCAACACTATGACAGTAAGACCCAAGTTTTAATAAACCAAAGTTATCCATTAATCAGCATTCCTTGTGTACTGAAGACACAGACACACTGGTGTTAACACAAATCAGACACTGCCACTTGATTTCAGACTCATCTGTATTGATGTTAAGATTTTTATAATGAAACAACCTATCACCGTGATTTAAGGATCAACACAACAATGTGTCTTCAAAACAAGATGCAAAAAGTAAATAAAACAGTTGTTGAAGTGTTATATAAATTACAATCCTGTCACATTACAATCCTTTAAAGCAGCGATAACTTTCTACGATGACTCAGTATGTTCAACAGTACAAATAAATAAGAGAACAGCTGTCAGATTGAGGTTTGAAAAGAACCCTGCCTGGATGCAGATCAGCCACCTCCAGCTACGTTAACAGCGACGGTGATCACTGAGAGTTTGTGTGTGTTTTTATGCATATTTGTTGTTAACAGCACTTTGTAGATTTGGGTTTAACAGGGTGTCAGTGCCAGAGGTTCAACCTCACAGCGTCCTCAACGAAAATGTCACGACTCCACGCACACAGTAAGCCACTGTCATCAAAACTGTACATTCAATAAATTAACAATGCATTGTCTTTGTTAAGCAACCAGTGAAATGACTAGATTACATAATTACATTAGATTACAGGTAGAATGAACCATTCACAAGATGAAAACCGGGGGAAAGGGGGAGTTGCTGCAGGGGAAAGACCCACATGGCTGAGGAGAGGGGGGTGGTTGGCTTGGTAACGTATAGCACAAGGTTGATAGGCGCAATAGGGATGACACCACCTACCCTTTGGCCTCAGATCACCAGCATTTGACCCCATGAGGGGCCAAGAGTCCCTTTAGAATTAGAATTTCCTACACATTTATAGAGACAGTACCTCTGTCTCTTTCTTCATCATCTTTTCTCATCATGGCCCATCCCAAAACGCCCACCCGTCCCCCAACCCCACCCCACCTCGTCCCGCCATGGTCTGTGGTCACACGCAGGGGTTGTCTCTGATCTGACTGAGACTGGCTTTTGGAGTTTTTTTGGAGTTGGTTGTGGTTTTCCCGCAGGCTTCAAGGCTTGTGTTTGAAATGGGCCTCCACTGCAGAGACAGAAACATAAAATGAAGTAATGCAGCGATGCAGGTAACAGACTATGGTTTCGACCGATGTGCTCTTTTTGAGCAGCAATAATGATGCTTTTGCATTAAAGTTACAGAGAGAACCACAAGAAGAAGATCCATTGCCCAAAAAACAGTTTTGCCGTTGCAACAAAACACAAAATTAACAAGTCTGACTACAAAAACTGAACTGCAGAATAAATTACTTTCCAAAACTTTTTTTTTTACCTCTGCTAGGAAGATTATGTTTTCACCTGTGACTGTTTGTTTGTTTGTCAGCAGGATTAGGCAAAAACCCATTTCACACCAAACTTGGTGGAGGCATGATGCAAGGGCCAAAGAAGAACTCATTAAATTTTAAAAAAATCATTTTCCATAACATTGCGAGGTAGGGCATTTTTCAACATTTTCATCAGTTTCCTAGAAAATAATGTTCGGATCTTGATGTAATAAAAAGTCTGACACATTTATGACTTTGTACAATTTGGTGCAGATCCAGACAATAATCCGGACTGCTGTAAGAAAAGATTTGACCTTGGTATGCGCTCTACTGAGTGTCATTTTAGTTACTCAAATGGTCTGATATGGCTTATCTAGTCCCGGTACCTGCATATTCCTGTGGCCTCATTGGTCGATTGATGACCCTCTGGAAGGCCGCTATCCAATCCCGTTGCTCGGCCTCTGTCTCGCAGGCAAACAGGAACTTCCTGTCCGGCGTGACGATGGTGATGCCGTGGTTCCAGTGGTAGCCCTGAGTAGACGCGGGCAAACCGGCCAAGACGGTGTAACTGTTCTCCTTACTGCCGATGAACACTTCACCACGGGCGTAGGCATCCTGGGAGACGAGGGACACAGGGTGAGTATAAGACATGCGAACGCTGAGTAATGGGTCCGAACAAAGTAAAAGGCAGGTCTCTTCTTACCAGAGGGTCTTTAAAATACATGAGTCTCCTGTCATCCATAGTAAACCACCTCTTCTTAAAGCCCTCTGTGTGCTGCAGAAAACAAAAAGAGACTGAAGGTTATGAGGAGAGAAAACAACAAAGAGAGTCAATTCATTGCAAAAAGTATGAGTCGTCATGACAAGTCTGCAGGATGTTTGGCCACTAAAGGAGCATTAAAAATAAAATAAAATTTCAACTCCAGTTTTGGGAACCACTGTATTACACTGGGCCTGCAGACAGTTCGCTCATATGTAACTGTAATCACTGCACAAACCTTTGGGCCTGTTTTCTCCATAAATCCTTCCTTCATGAAGTTTCTGGTCAGTTTGGGCACCAGCTGGAACATAAAGGAAAAGACAAAAGAAATATTAAATAATATTGCTTCTTCTAGCATGGGTATTATTAGATGTTATATTATCAGATTAATATGCATTTGCTCGACTACAAGATGGATGTGACATAAATGTGAACCCCAGGAAGGTCATCTATGCATCTATAACAGGAACAAGATAATTCACTAACAAATCGGACGTCCGGTCATCCTCACCTCCTCATCACTTGCTCCAGGAAAAGCCACCTGCAGGTAGTGGAACCTTGCTGCTCTAATAGCATTGAACCAGTCGACCATTTCCTGTTTTAAAAAACAAAAACAGAAAGTAAACACCCTCAGTGGCAACATAACCCACAATCACAGTCTAATTCACAGTATTTATTTTGGGCTGCAAGTGAAGAATGTGTTGTTTTTGCAGCTTTTATCCAGCGGTGAAGGTGTCTTTTCTACAGAGTAAGGTGTAGTCAAGAGCATCAGTGCTTGCTGCAGCATTGTCGATAACTCCACCACAGAACAAGAGTGACGGCGACACCGAATGAACCCGATGAACTCGTTCTGACACGGCCTTCAGTAACACGACTCAACCAGCAGAGGGCGCAGTGCTTTCTCTATCCGAGCCTCTCAACCCTCCTGAATGGACATTATTATCTGCCTCTTTCTTCTCTCTAATCTTGTTTTTGATTAACTATGTCCCCCCCCCCAGCCCCCCCCCTCTCCGTTTCTCTCTCTATATTAGTCATACAGTAAATCCCAGAGATTTAACCGTATTGTGAGGCAACAATGATTTGTGTCCTCAGTGCTATAGAGCCCCTCAACGAGACACATAGAGCACACACCCACACATCCTCGTTTTGCTATAATTGTGGAGACCCATCCAGCCCCTTACCCTAACCTTTGCCATGACAACTGAATGCTTAACCCTAACCACAGCCATTCTATGCCTAACCCTAAAACCACATCTGAACCCTGAAACAGCCACTTGAAGTCTGGTTTTCCAGGCTCTCAGTTTTCAGAATCCACAAATACAATAAAACAAACCCCCCCCCCTCTCAAATAAAGAGGTTCAAAACCAGAACAGTGAGGGTTGAAATGGAGAATGCAGCTTAATGAGGGTTTTTTTTTTAAAATTTATGTCTGATAGTTCTCGCAGCAGTCCTACAATTGCCTAGAAAGGAAATTATGTGGGTTTTTTTTTTTTTTTTTTTCGGAAGGTTCCTGGAAAGCATGACATGTCATTTGGTGCGACTTAGAGGAAATGTTTTAAATTACATGAACAGTTGCTGTTTTCTCAGTCATAGCACAGCAATTTGGTTGAATGCAGAAATCAAAAAGGTGTAAAGTTCATTGTGAAAATTACGAAATACATTGTTATTTTAAAGCAGAACATGTACGGCGTTGACATTTGGCATCTAGACTCTAACCTCATCGCTGCCCACAAGAAATCACCATGCTCAGCACAGCAGGGCAGTGGCGACTGACGATGATAACTTCCCTACTAGGGAAGCGTACATGCTGGGGTGGACTGGGGTTTCTTTTTTTTCGCTGCACGGATGGCAACAGCAGTGGCAGCCCGTGACACAGCTGACTGACTTCCCTTGCTCAAAGGCTACGTTTCACTAGAGTGGACACGGCCTGAGTGCTATCTAATCTGGATTAAATTCACAACCATTTATGAGAACAAAGACAAAATAATGAGAAAAACTGCAGCTGATTTCACAGCAGATATAAAGTGTCGTCTATATGTAGTAGAACGGTGATGCATTCTCTGTTGCTGTTGGTCTGAGCTTCAGCACACTGGACTTGAAATGAAACAGTGCCTATGAGGTGACTTTCAGCACTTTAACCTCATGTAGCCTCACAGCTTTTATTTTTATTTTTAACATATTCCCCCAATAGTTAAACAGTAAGGCACTTCCTACACTATTCACAGAATCTAGATGTAGACATCCTCAAATTAAAGTTAAAACTTAGCACTCTAACCTCATAGTCTCTGTCTCCGAGCCGACACAAAATGTGTCACTTTCTAAATACTTTCTGACTGCACTGTAGCTACTGAAGCTGGTTGGAAAAAGCCAAAAGGAGATTAATTATTAAGGGACATTTCCGAGTCCAAGTGCATTTAGTAAAGCAGACAGCATGCATATTATACTGCTATCTCTGTATTAGAGCACTGTATTACGATCTATATGAGAAGCATGTCACTGCGTTGTAGAAAACAATTAAGAAGAAAGGAGTACAGTAATTGAATTAACGATTACAGGAACTGAATGAGTGTAAATCAGTGTGATAGTGTACCTTAGCATCACTGTGGTAGACAAAGATGTTCCTTGTGCTGTTGTCTTTCAGGTAGGTGATCTGCAAGCCGCAGGGGTTGCCGATCTTGGCCGGCTGGAAGGTGGCATTGAGGGTCTCAATTTTCATCACCGCCTTGGGATCCCTGGCCTTGATGGAGGCAGACATGAACAACAAATAATACATTGCAAAAGTCCCATATTTACCAGTGTTATAGGCTTTAGCCGAAGTGAAATTGTGCCACCTTAACTAAGCACAATTCAAAATCAGCTGCATCATCTTGCTTACATCCTGCTTGTTGAAGTATTTTAACGCTCCCTCCCTCTCTGACAGGATGAACTTTCGGCTGAGAAACTGACCATTGTCTCTTCCTCGTTTCCATAGAAACCCCTCTCGGTACCCTGGGCAGAGAGAGAGAGAAAAAAAAAAAAAAAAAGAAGTATGTGGTTGGGAAGCTGGTATCAAAAACAGCATCAGAGAAGATGAGAGATGAAACACAGGAGGCATTTATGACAGTAATGGTGAGATGTTGTAGCTGCATGGAGCGAGATGATACTTCAGTCAAGCTGAAATCAAACATCATTTGATCTTAATCTCATTTAGAAGAGGAGGAAGAAAAGGGAGACGGTGTGTGAGGGTGAGAAAACACAGCAGAACATTCAAGAAACAAACAGACGTGAGAGGAAAGCATTTAGCATGGGAAGCAGCATGAGACAGCACAGAGAGGGATTTTATTGTCTCTGTACCAAAGAACATCCTTTTCCATGTTAATGATATGCTGCTCCATTTATAGCCTGTAATGTTTTCTTCTTCTTCTGTCTTTTTTGCTAAAACGCTCTGCCTACACTGCCTCCATTTCTCTCTTCTATTTCTGTCACACTGTCAAGTGTTTTCTTTCTAATCTGGATCTATTTCTGTAGCTTGAATGACAGGAAAATGCAGATCAGTGATCAGCTGGCATCCCAATGAAGTGGCTAATTTACATTCATTACATTACCTGATGCTGGGTGTTTTGTAAATGAGTGCTAATTGTCAAATAAACTACAATTTTCGAACTGAAAATGATGAGTATGAGGTGAAAATGGGGCTAATGTGCCCTGAATGATTGTGCAGAGAAGTGTAAAAGAAAAAAATAGGAAGTATTCTGTCATGTACGTTTGTAGCAGAGGAAGCTATGGACAGAAGATTATTCTTATACTCTTATTCTGTTCACCCAAATTACATGATATTTTCTCACTTATTGCATTTGAATATAATGACGCTGGTAGTCTTAGTATTATTTACCGGGTTTTAAGATTTAAGATTTTTGCCTCCAGCCCAAAACAATGCAGGCGGATGGCATTTTATTTGAGTGCTCAAAGGAATGAAAGAAGTCTGCAGCAACATCTCTTTACAGAAACAATGTCAGTTACTGTGGAAAACCCACAGACCTCACCATCAACAGACCAATAACTTCAACAGGAAGTAGTGGAATGATCAAGAAGCTGACAACATGCTTAATCAGAACATGTTGTTGAATGACCCCCCCCCCCAAAACCCCCCAAAACCCTTCTGATGTCATAATAACTTTCTAAAACTGACAATTCATACTCACTCCACAACGAGATTAGCCAGCAGTGTGGAGGCGAGAAAGGAGCCACAGTTTGAACCTCTCCCTCTCTCTAGCTCTTTTTTTATTCTTTACGTAACTGTTTCTTTCACTTTTCATGTGAGCAAACGAGTGCAACACTATGAACGTCTTGAAGGATTCTGCATGTCCCGCGTCTCTATAACAGCGGCTTTTCACTACGTCTTTGAGTGTGTTTGATTAGAACGGCTTTAAGCTCTTTTGATTTCCCAATGGGGTCAGACAATGCATCACCCTGCTCTCTTTTCCATTCTCCTTATTCACTTCCATAGATTACCTCTATATCTTTTTGTCCTCTGCACTCACTTCACTCCATCGTGTGTGTGTGTGTGTGTGTGTGTGTGAGCATGCACTTTGTGGCTGTGACTTTCTGACATGAAACATTCACCTACATTGGCATTACCTCATCGATCAATAGCCCTCCCTGTCCCCACCCTCGCCTTCTTCCCTCACACTCTTTTCCTTCGTCCTATACTCTGCATACATAACATTAGCTGCTGTGGAGGCCACTGAGACTGCCAAGTCAGTCTCAGCCACCCACCCACACCCACACACACAAACTGCACACAGATATTATGCACCTCAAAATGAGTGATGTAGTGAGCTCGAATGCACAGAGATGACAGAATGACTCATATTATTACACTCTATCTGCTTGTGTATGTGTGTGTGTGTCCACTGTAACAATAAACGGGTGAGGTCACTGCAAGCCAATCAGAAAACTCCATCTTCAACAAGACGTGAAATGTATACTAGAGTGTACACACACTGCTGGACCCAACACACACAAATATTGTACATTCACACACACACACACACAGTTTAATGGCAGTTCTATTTTCCGTCAGTGACAATTACAGTGTCACTGCTTGAATATGCTTTTAACTGCAAACATATACAGAACCACTTAGGAGCGGAAGGATGAAAATGAATGTTTGAAAGTCGTCGATGGATGTTTCAGGGTAATTGAATTCCTGCTACTGGCATCCACTGGGACGTTTGTCCAAGGGGGGTTTTCAAGGTTCTGCTTATCGAAGGGTAAACAACGCAAGCCTAACACGACAACAGAACAGCCACTTTTGCTTTATTTTAGATGGTGAAACTCAAGTGTGACAAATATAATGAGCATGATGAGGAAGCTGGTTGTTTCCTATTGTAGCGATATAAGAAGACACTGAGGGTAACAGAAAGGTGACACCAGTCTTTCTATTCACACACATTGAATTGACTGTGGCCTAGTTGTTTTGTTTTTTACATAGCTGATAGCAAGTCCTTTCAATGCATATGCTATCATTAAATATTCAATCTGTGTGGCCTTGGTTGATGCTGATCTGATGTCTTGGGGAGTAAAGTCTCACGTGCTCAGGCTGGTGAGCATTTGGACAGAGACATAATTACAACGTAAAATCATACACTACTTACTCATCCAGCAGTAAAAAGTGTATTTGCTGGTAACAATTTTCAGTCCTAGATCTGGTGCAGGTGTTGACATCAGTAGGACAATGTATGTGAGACTGACCAGAGGAAAAAAACAAAACAAAAAAGCCGATGTTCATAGTAACAGACAGTCATGAGTGACAATGGAGTTCTATTGCCAATACAGACAATATTTTTTTTGGTTCTGGGACAGTATCAGCTTGTTCCATGTAAGGGTTAGTGTTGGGGGAATAATATAAGCAATGGGGGTCTTTCTAAGTGTAATAATACAAACGTGTCAGTATGAACGTACCTGCAGAATAAGGCTCCTGTTTCTCGATGAACTCAAACTCATTCCTTTCGTACTTGGCTCGGATCCACTGCTCTCTCAGCAGCCTAGAGACATGATGAAAAACACACAGTTAGCTTTCACGTCAATTCTACACACACCACATGCCTCGAAACACACACACACACACACACACACACACACAGTTATTTTTCAGTAAGCTGGATACTATACGGTACTTTTTAACTACACAAAAAGAATATCATGGAGATAAAAAGCCAGCAAGCAGATAAGCAGATAGTTACCTAGCTCTAATTAAACAGAAAGAAACACACACATTCATATCACACTAAAGCATAAAGACTTCACTGTCACTGCCTTTGCTTTGCATGGTTTCTACCAAAGCTGCATTGAAAAGAAGCAACCTCTTTTTCCTCTACAGTGCGTGGAGAAACAAATGGCAACAGTCTGCACATCACCATGCCAACAGTCTCTCTCACCATTTCCTTCTCTACTTCTTCCAACCTTTCAGCCTCCCCTTCAGGCTCCAAACTGCTTTCATCCTTTCTCTCGCCACACATTTTCTCCTTTTATTGGCTTCTCTCAGAAATAAAAATGACTGTTCTGTCTGCACAAAGAGGTAGAATGTCTTACTCTTGGCAGATATTTCTTTGAATGACACCTTCTGGTGACATTGGGTCTTAAACACTAAACTCTGCTTCTCAGGGGAGAAGGGTGTGTGAACACTACCACAGACCATGGCACAGACACAGAGAAAGACACATCTCTTTCATCTGCGTTTTCTCGATCTTTCTTCTGTTTCTATTTTAATTAAATCCTCCTGGACAGATGCTGACAGAGAGACAGATGGACAACTAAAGTCCTGAATTAAAAAAAAAAAAAAAAAAAAAGTAGAAAAGAATTAAAGAAAAGAAGAAAATTAAAGATTTTGTTTGGAGGCAGATGGATACTCAAAAATATTTGCTATTAGTATAAAAATAACTATGACTGCACATACTGCAGCTGCCAGATAAAATGCAATTTTTAAAGAATTTTTTTTCCTGTTGTTCACGGTCATAAAAACCTTAAATAATTCACTGTGATTGAAAGTTTATCAGTTAAACATGAAACAGTCCACGGGGCTGTGAGAAGAGGAAGAGAATGTGATATTTTAGGCACTACCTGCCCAGCACCAAACTTCAGACAGACGCAGATGGTGATTAACTGGTGAACAAAGTGGAGCATTTAGCAGCTAAAGAGCCAGTTATCTCCCTCAGGAGTAGTTAGAGAGCTGAATCAATCGTGAATGTCAGACTTCTATTCACCAGGTGGCCAGAAATATGACTCTAAATAAAGTGGTGCAGGAATGAGTTAGCATTTTAGCACGTCCGGCGCTAAGTATGTGGGGTTTTTGGTTAGGTGACTAAATTAACAAAAGCTCGTCACTAACGTCACTAAATGCTAAGTGGCTAATTGAAACGACAGAGGTTGTTGGCGACGTAAAATGTAATCACGTCGAGCACGAAAGCTGACCTACTCACCAGTCCACCTTTACAGAGGAAAAGTGAATTCGGATCCGGATCGTCAGTTTCCGACCCTCTTCCTTCTTAAAATATAGTTTTCTTTCCCTTTTTCCTTAACATGAGTTTGAACTCAACACTGTCCTTTCACTGCTGAGCAAACAACGGTTTTTCACAGCGGCCATTTTGAATTGTCATAGTCGGAAAAGCACAGGTGTTGGCATTAACATTATCAATGTTGTCTAACCATAGATTGGAGCCTACATGTCCCAGTCAAAGTTGTGGGTATGCAAAAGGTCATATTTAACGGAAATTGGTTCAGAAATAAACAAGTTACACTCGATGTTTGTATTGAAATCTGCATATCTCACTACACGTTTAATTTGTTTACTAGTAAACAAGTGGATTCTTCCGCATAGCATATAGGCACATACAGTATTGGCTAATGAGGTGCCTACGTTTCTGTATCTACAGCTCCTAAATTTAAATTAACTATATCGTCTTAAAAACTATTCCACCAAAAACACTAGTAGCACGAGGAGTTAGCTCAGTTAGCATAAGCTAACTGCTATCGCTTAGCTAATGTAGCAAATAGACTAATTCCATTCGCAAAGATGTTCTCTTTTGAGACGACTGACATAAACTTCTTCATGAAAGTCATATTAGGACTGTTATGATATAAGGTTGCCCCTCCAGTACTTGTGTTTTGGGTGTGACAAAAGAAAGAGCAGGCTACTTACTTGCAGTCAGTGTGTGTAGGTCTGTAGTAGAAAGCAGGAACCTTCTGCTCATATTTGGCCTTGGCTGCATTGTTTCCCATAGCAGCCATTAACTGAAAGGGAGGCAGGACAACACAATCTGGTTATCTACATACTGCTCACAGTCCAATATATACTTCATTGTATTACACTGCAGTTTCCACATTGCTGCATTCAAGATGTCCAGGGTGAATGAGAAGCCAGACAAATTTGATATAACAGCATATTTAACCAGTTCGTTTCGAGGTTTAGGTATTTTATTCTGAAAAACCGTCTCTCAGGTAAAATATTGGAGTGTGAATTTCAGGATTTGTGGACATACCAACATTAAACATTTAAAACATTGCAGTTGTAATAATATACAATTTCCAATATTACAGAAAGTGTGCAATTTTTATTCATTTAGAATATTTCTCCTTGTATTGTCACTTTGACTTCAAAATAAGATAAGATAAAAAAAAATAAAAAAAAGATAAACATCTTTGTTCCTTACTATAAAATTAAATGCAATTAGAAGATCCATATAATAGCAGTCATGACATTTCAAGGGCCTAGAAAATGGTGACAACAAAACAACAACAGGCAGAAGAAAATAACATTCACTTTGAATAATGTGACAAAAATTGGCTGAAGCAGAGGAAAACTGAGGTATGATAGACCTCGCTCAGTTGACAATGAGTCCCCTGCTTGTCTATGGGATTAATTGTGGAAATGGCTTCACTGCATTGGGACGTGTCTGCCTCCCGCCCGGCGTTCCCTCCATCCTGTGTTTCATCCAATGATAATCCCTGAGCCCAATCCAGCTGGCTGAATCCCTCAACACGCCTCTCTTATCCTCTGAGGGGCTCTGGAAGGGATGCAGCACTGTGGCTTTTTATTGTGAAGGTCACATAACAGCACAAAATGCAACCAAATGACAAAGCTCTAAAGAATTCACGGCAATTGCGATATGTGACATATCTGCTGGCAAAAATGTGAAGCATTTGACACCTCAGATGTGACATTTGGAACATGATATCAATACCATCAAAGCAAAAGATCAAGAACCTTTTTTTCAGCCATTTAGCATAACCTCCTCTGCACAATATCCAATTTATTTGGTACGTCTCCCCTTTATGTGAAGTGCTCACTACTTAAAACTGAATCACAAGCATCTACAGAGCATAACATTCAGTTACTGTTCAATAAAATAACCAAATCTTCATGATAACACGGCATAAATGGCAACACAAATGAGACCACATAAGTCTGATTTTTCCTCTCTACAATGGCATCATATAAAAGGAAGAGCTGGGGCCTCATTTGTCAGAATAAGCATACTCCCACCTTCACACAATAACATCTCATTTACCTCATTTGTTCTACATCCATCTGTACATGCACGTAGAAGCTCATTTACATATAGAAATGTGCCAAATATTGTCAACCACATCCAAGCGGGCCAAAAAGATAAAGATGAAACATAATGCAACGACAATGAGGTGAAGCTCCGTAGCATTCATCTTACAGACTTCTGGACATTAGTGTCATTTCATGTGTGCTACTGCATTGTTATTGGTGTTTTTGTACTTTACATCGTGTTTAATGTTTCCACTATTCCCTTACTTTATTTGTTCACACAGAATTAGCATCTCGTTCGACCAAGAGTGACATAGTGTGCAAATATAATATACAACACCCGCTTTTCATTAACACGTCATAGCTGAGAACACAAACTTTCCACAGTATCAAATCATTTAAAATGAATGGTATCAAAAACGTAGCAGTTCTTTATTAATATAGAATGATTACAAATGAATGTTCATCAATAGTTTATCTGAATCAACACAAAAGAGATGAAGCTTCTCAAAATATAAGAGTTGGGGATTGTCTATCTGTTATTAATGAATTTCTTTGCCTGCAGTTCCAGGCCTGATTAGGAGCAGCTCTAAATGTGTGCACATTCTCAAGCACAAGAAGAAGAAAATGATCAATTGGATTCTATGCATAGAAATGAGCGTATGTACAGTTTAAGAACAAAGTGGTTCATTAATGAGGTCCCTAATTTTAAGCTTTTATTGGTCATTCATAGTGTTCACCGTACATTTCCAAAAGAAATTCAACGCTACATCCTAGAATATGCAATTATAACGATCACGATTTTCCAACTTTCTTCTAGATGTAAAGATGTGCCATCTCATCGTTATTTTTATAAATATGCCCCTAAATTATCTCATAATCTCATATTATTATTTCAAATTTTTTACCCTCTCAGGCCTTTTTGTAGTGTCACTTTGAAGTGTTTTAACTTCTCCAAACTGTTCTTTTCCATTGTTCTCCTTCACCTCATACTGAAGATAATATTATCCCCTCTGTCTGTAACACTTCCTCAAACCATAAAGACATTTTTTTTTCAGAATAAAATGCTTATCTATTTTCAGAAAAGGTGTTCTCAAGATAGTTCCAAAGACCTGACAGTGACTTTACGTCAGTCATCACGTTTCAGACACCTTTGGTATGAGCGGGAACTGGAAACATTTTGCAGACACTTAGTGACGTTTATATTGTTAGTCGACATGAAGGAAGACCCCCTGTGGGACATTTGTGGTAGCTCATTAAACCCATGATGGTCGTACCCTGTATTAGCTAAGTTCAGCTAATGAAGTGAATATTGTGTGTCTGTTCGACAGAAGTGTCTCCTTTGATTGAGGATGTTTTATTGGAATGGGACTGCAACAGCTCCAAAGGTCTCAACAATAAACTCTGGCATCTCAAAATCAACCCTAAACTCTCCCAGTGCTACAATTACATTGGTGGAAATGTAACACGAAACCAACACACGAAACCCTCACAGAGCTTTGTTGCAATCCAAACTGTTCATCCACTCGTCTAATTCTCCTGCTTCTGTTTGGGTTTTTATCTCCAAATACCTCCCAACACCCTACTGTATTATTCTTGCATTTTGCTTCATACCACCTCCCCTCTCTCCTCTTTAGTTAAATCTCCATTACATCCCAATTATTGTCCTCCCACATCTCCAGCCTCCTGGTTTTTTCCGCATCACTCGCGTCAGCATCACCTCCCCACAAAGTCCTTTTTGTCACCCAGTGGTGGCGTTTTAGCGCTGACATGATACATTCAAGGGACAACTTCACACTTCAACTGCAGAGCCAAAGACTTAAATCAGTCTCACCTATGACAAAGTTTTGAACAGTATTTGCACAGAACTCATATTTCCTGTTGACATATTTCTGAAGGGGGTATGTCTGCAAGGCATGCAACAGCTCAGCTTCTTTTCACACCCAGGAGAAAAGTGTACACGGTCTCACTAATGGAATAATACTTTATTGAATAATTCACTTATTTGCTTTCTTGCCCAGAGGTAGATGAGAAGATTGACACCACTCTCCTCTTCAGTAGCTGGTTAGCATGTCCCACTGACCACTTCCTTATGCAAGATATCTTTTATAATGTGACTTCATGTAAAAACCATTAATTGTTTATTTCTGCCACAGTACAAAACTGCTCTAATGACACATATATTTTTTAACTGTAAAAAAAAAGAAAGCAGGACTTGAGTCTCTGTGGTATGAAATTCTGCTTTTTACCCTTATATGGCGTTTTTGTGGATGAAGTTTGCCCACAAAAGGAATAGAGCCTTGTTGGGGTTTTGTTTATGCTAATGAGCAATGTTCTTCCATGACGCCCAATTTAGTCATATCTATTCCAGCAAATATCAAATGTCAGCAGTCAACTCAGAGAAAGGGAAGTGATGTTTATATTTTTTAATTTTTGATATTTGATATCAATTTGAAGTTGGGACGTTGCATTATACTGTGTATTTGCCATTGCTGCCCTACCTCCACCTCACTGGCATCCCACGTGTCCTGGACAGACTTCACCCGGCTGATGTGGGGGATGCTCCGGTGAAGGAGCGAGCAGGCCTGGCAAACAAACACGCCCAATGTCAGTGACGCCCAGTCCGGCTCTGCAGGAGAGAGAGAGAGAGGGAAAGAGAGAGGAGAGAGATGAAGGAGAGCCGGGAGGGGGGTGCAGGGGGGGAAGAGGGATGACGTAGGGAGAACAAGCATGGGGGTGAAAGGAGAGGATGTGAGTTTGGGGGGAGACAGAGAGAGAGGAAGAGAGAGAAAACGAAGGGAGGAAGGAAATGAAATTGGGCAAAGCGAGACAGGAGGATGATAGGAAGAGATCGAGGAGAGATAAAAGAGGAGGTGTGAGAAGGTCTTGTCATAAAGGCGCTGCAACAAAGAGAATAGCAGCTCACGGTTCAGGCTATAAATACTGAAAGTGCTGATGCTGGCGCTGTTAGGAGGTAATAGCAGCAAAGTAAATGAAGCAAATATTACAAGGGAGTTTGGTTGAGTGTGTCCCTGCACATCAACGAGAGCAAGGCAGCTAAATATGATTTTGGGGAAATCCTGTTTAGCTTACTGACAGGAAACAGACAGCCTGAGATCTGATCAGGTTAGTTACATCACCAGACTCCTAAATACACTGTGATAATATCATCACACATATGCATGTGCATACACCCGAAAACACAACATGCAGTGTTTTATACTTAAAAGGTCCTGGCATGCATGCACACACACACACACACACACACACACATACATATGCATCATCTCTAGACAGACCATTTGTTGCTTAGTGCCAATATGATCATGTGATTACTTTGAATACAGCTCTAGAAAATGACCAGACTCAGCAGACAGCAGGAGCAAGAAGTTTTTCTCTGCAACGTGACACAGACGCAGCATCAGTGGGTGTTGAGACAGACAAGGTTTGTCTGAGTCACTGTATCACACAGACCTTGATTGGATGTAACTGACATCGTCAAAGTCAGAGATGGAGTGTGCCAGAGACGGTGTCAGGGAGAGAAAGACAGTGAGCGAGCGCTAGACATAATGTGCGTAATCAAATGTAAAGCTCAGTCGGCAGAACCAAAGAAACATGTTTAGAGAGCGAGTTGGCAAACTGGTTAGAATAAATAAATAGATACACAATCCTGGTCAAAATGTAAATCACCGTTGGTCGGTCATCTTTGATTATCCACTAATTCTTTTAAGTCATGCATCAAGGAAAAATGTGAAATATTTGCTTGTTTCAGTTTCTCAAATATGATGAATTCATGTTTATTTGTCACACTGTTGGTTTTTAGACACATCGTTGGACGTCCACTTACACTCTGGGGAATTTGCGATTGCCATTTTTTAAACATTTTTCTGAAAAATCAATCGGTCAATCAAACAAATAATTAACAGGTGAATCAATTATGTGCATCCTGATTCAGTAAACAGAAACACTATAAACACGTTCTTATTGTTCACAATGGGTTATTAATAATACTAGAAAGTATAGAGCTAATGGCTAATTATTATTCCATTAGCAACTAATGGCACTCAGTAGAGCACATACCTCCGTCAAGGCCAAACGATCCTCCATGTCTGTCAGCTCCAGATTATTATCTGGATTTTTATCTTGATCAAATCCATTGATCTCTAAAATTTTATTATTTTTTTAAACATCTAATATAAACATTTTTGATAAGAATCCCCTTAATGTGGTTATTTAAGACTTGTGATCATATACAACACCTCAACACCATAACATATGCATGGCCACTAGCGACTGAGAACGCCGTGTCCTCAACAGGCAGCATTCAAAAGTCACCACATTCTCTCTCCATCTCAGTCTCTCTGCAGCTGCCATTTCTCACACAAGGACCCTCAGCGTGGTGCACCAGGACCACGTGAATACACACATGCACGCACACACACACACACACACACACACACACATAGTGAGAGTGTGTAATACTCAAGGGAGTCATATGAGAGCTACAGGAGAGAGGAGGGTAGAAGAGGGCAAGAAATACTATTCTTGCATTTCTTCGTCCTCTTGAGGCTGGAAGAAGCATAGACGGAGATGCCACAGAGCCTGACTGGGCATCAGCAGGGGGGAAGAGGAGAGGGTTCAGATGATGAGGAAGTGATGGAGAGAGGAGGAGAGGTAGGAGGGATACGGTATGAGACATGGACGAGGGAGAGGGAGGAAGTGTGTGGGTTTCTTAATCATGCAGAGAGATGATGTGAGCTCACAAAGTCCCCCGAGGGTGTTATGTGGCATCTACGATAATCCCCCTTTGATTTATCTCTTTTAACCAGTGACGAGTCGGCAATATTTTTTTTTTTTTTTTTTTACAAATGTCAACTCATCCTTTAATCACTCTGGATTGTGATCAAGCACAAAGCACTGGAGATGGCGCTTTGATGTGAAGAAATCAAACCTCTACCATTCTATTTCTATTATGTCTCCTTTTTGCCAACAACACACACACACACACACACACACACACACACACACACACACACACACACACACACAGACACACACACACAACCTTGCTGACACCAAAACGCACTACCAGCCATTCAGCGGTGAGGTCACCACTGTCTGAGTCAGGCCTCACAGAGACGCAGACAGCACTCATGGAGATTACTGTGGCTGCATGACTGACTAACTAACCACACTCACACACACACACACATGCACACACACACACACACCATGCAGATGCACACACACAGGGGCTTCCTCCTCCACATGTACATAGAAGATGTTTCTCAACAGGATTACTGTGAACAACAGATGCACAGTCGTAGCGAACAGGAGGTGGGAAACTCCTGATGTAGTGTGACTGCTGTGTCTGTGTTTTTTCCTTTTCTTTTTCTTTTTTTTCCTCTCCACAGTGCATAAGCTGTTTGAGGCGTGTTTGTTAAAGAGCTGCGTCCTCGCTCCATCTCCAAGGAATTGTTTAGAAAAAAAAAAAACGTCAAGTTTCTTGCTGTAGTTACAGGGCCTGTTGGGTGGAGAGACAACAGAGCTATTGATCCAACCACACAAGGTTGAAGAAAGAAGTGCCTGTGGCGTTACTGCAGGGCAGATGCAGGGTAAATGAATGAAGGGGCATTTGTACAATAGCAGCCCCTGTGTCTGTGCGCGTTTGCAGGCACTTTTCTGCATCTGCATGAGTTTATTTCTACATCCGCACACATACACATCAGTCCGTCAGTGGCTGTGTCATGGTGAGAGATAATGACTAAACAGAGGGGCCAGCTGAGGTTGTGACCCTCTCATGTCTCAGCCAAACCCCTCAGGCAACAGCACAGCGATTTATTTCTACAGCAGAAGTTAGTCTTAGATTTTTACTAGCACTAAACTTCAGTTTGACCCTGGCTCTGTTAAAAATGGTAAAAATGGCTTTTGTAAGAACATCATCAAGGTTTACTTCACTTCTAAAAGGCTGACTTCTCACACGGATATTTGCATTAGTGAACATTAGATGTATAAAGCATTTCCTGAATATGTTGAATCAGTCTATGTGGCTGTGATTTGTGTTTTAAATTCAAACAAACATCCTGGTGTTTACACCCACCAGCATCTGACTGACAAGCTTTCATATAATGTCCCAGGACAAACTCATAAAACTGGACTGCAGATATAAATGAGCGATATAGCTAACTCTGGCCCATGTTGTGCATGGTCCCTGTCAGATAAACTAATAATATACCCATTAATGGAACTTAAATCAATAACATAATACAGTATACAAAGGTCAAACATACATGCATCAGTTCTTGTTGGTTAAAACATTGTATGTCTAATTCAGTTCATGAATACATGCAGACACTACTTTCTGCCATGGAGACAGCGGATCTATAGGCTACAGATCTATAGATCTACACGGACAACGTCTTTCAAACGATCCTCTGTGAGCCGGTGATGTCTGTTCTTTCTTCCTGGTTCATCTGTCGTACATCTAGACTAAGGCTCCTCATGAGACATGTCAGTGTTTGTCGCAGCACAATAATCAAGATGTGGAATTGCTTAATATGCCTGTAACCCTTGACTGCAAACAGCATGTTTGTTTGTTGAGTGAAAATATTTTTGGGGGGTAAAATGTTTAAAAAGCACAGACACACTCCCTCTTCTGCATTTGATATTATAGTACGTTTTTTTTTTCAGACAAGATTGTGGTATACTCAAGTGCAGCATTGCATTATCTGATTGGCATTAGCTGTGTCATTCATGCTTCACCATCACTGACTGATCAATCAGCTGCTTGGCTGCCGGCTGACTAGAAACACGCAGTGGTAATCATAGAGCGTACGTCTCCTCCGTTCTGACACTTCTCACCGACGTGCCGTCCTCCTCTTTTGGCTTTTATTTATGCTCGTATTTGCTGAGGGGGGATTTGTTCTCGCAGCAGAATCCTTGTTGCTGCTCAGATTCTTTTAGAGCTCCTTCAAAGACTGAAGCTTTTTCTGGTATAACTGTATAATGTAAGCGCCTCTGAGTGAAGCAGGTTGCTTAAACCGACGGTTTTGTGGCTCGAGGCTTGTTGTTACTAAGTAACCGGCTGGAATATTGAAACTGTCGGAAACCTAAATATAATGATATAATGATTGGAAAGCTCACCAGATACGTCTGATGGCTAAAATTCCCTCGAATCATGGTGGAATACTCAAAGGAAGATGGCTACCAAAGAAGTGAAATTTGATTACAATTTAACAAGGCACATTGTTCCTACCTTGCATGAAGTAAGGGCTGGATTTGCAGTTATTCCTGTCACTTAGTTTGGGGTCTGAGAGAGTTAACTACTTCACTGATTATGTTGCTACTGACGGGGAAATGATGAAGAACTTGAAAAGCAAACCTTGAGTCACACTGGTTCTTTTGGTAGGACAGGAAACTGCACCACTGCTGACAGGAACGATCCCTCTTCCATTTCGCTTCGTGTTTGATACACGGTTGTCAAAGCCACGAATTTAGTTTAGCTTGATCGTCGGTGCAGCTGCCAACAGCAGATGTTGTTCATGAGCTCTGTAATATTTTAGCTAACACTAATCTAACATAGCTTGTTACTGCTATCCAAGGACACTTGTTCAGGTTGTTCTCCCTCTGCTGTAGGAGGCAGAGGTAAGGTCACATTATCCTGTTGAAGGTGTGACAGGTTGTGTTCCCACATCATTACTATTTCCCAAGATGCTCTCGGAAAAGGGAACACACCTGTAGCATAGCACCAACTCTTACAGACACAGGTTCAGTGAGAGGAATAACCTTAGGTTGCAATGGGAAATGCAAAAAGCTGTTTTTCTCCAGCTTTCTTTTCAGGAAAGCCGTGGGCGAGCTGAACTTCCTCCTATTTCGCCAGAGTTCCTGCTGTTTTCGCTGTTCAACAAACACCTTTCTCGCCGCTCAGAGGACTGCTGAGGCTTCTCTCTGGAGGGAATAAACTCGTTTGTGTGTCCTTAGCGAAGGGCATAGCCACAACGCTGCTGAGCTATAGAGAAACCCTGCCGTATAAGCTCCCAGCTCAGCCTCTCATCTGAGCACACCAGCAGAGAGAAGATAGGGGGGAGGTGGGGGGGAGGTAGGGGGGGCGCAAAGGTAAGGAAGGGCAGAGTAAGAATGACTAAGCATAAAAAATGCACAAGCAGTGGTGCCAATTTGTGTGTTTTCAGACCAATTCCAGCAGGCTTCCTGTCAGGTTAATGGATGTTCTATCTGCGATGGTGAGATAAAACAGGGGCGAGGGAGGACAGCCAGGTCACTGCTGATGAAGTGATGGTCCGTCTTTACCTTAACCCTGAAGATTTACAGACAATAAAGGGATTTCGTGTGATGTAATGCGGCAGCCGTATCCTCAGCTTTCCACTGCGTATATAAATATGTAAAACTGGACTCGGATCTAAACATTTAATCACCCATTTATCTGACTGAATTTGTGCCAAGATCATGTCATCTTGTTAGCCACAGCCAAACCATTACAGCGCTTTCTTTTTGTACTCTACGTTCAGGCTTGCTGTCTCTAGTGTGTACAAGGAAAATCTAGCTTTCACAAAACAATGGTGTAAGCTGGCTTAGTGAGGGTCTCAATTATAAAATAATAAGTTTATCAGCACACAAAAGGAAATGACTATGTACATATGTAAATGAGAACAACTCAACTGTGATTTCAGCTGTGTTACAGCGCAGTATAGGTGACAGGGGGAGACTGAGCGGAGGTGTAATGGGCCGACGCTCAGCAGAATAACCGGCTTTGTGTGTAGCTGCCCAGTCAGTCGGCTATGTGGCGGCAAAGTTAAGAAGACACCTTTCTCTTGTCTCTGATTCATCACAGACGCGCGTCAAATAAATAATAAATGTCAACACGGAGAATCATACAGCTGTTGATATTGAAGAGATTTCTCACATTTCACTGTGGACAGAGTTCGTTATTAAAACCACCTGGAAACACAGGTGTGGACAAGTCGTCTTGACAGGAAAACAGTGCTTTACATATTAGAGTTTTAGTGTTTGTTAGTCGAGATAAGACTATTTCAATTGGTCATTGGTATTCCCCTAACTGGTTATAAACCAGAGGAATAAGAAAATATTGATTTGTGACAGACAGTGGTTCATTTTGTGTTGTGTTTAAACCCCCCAACGGCTAAGTATCAGTGTTGTAATCAATCTTAAGCCATTTGACTCTTCCACTTAATGTAAACTGAGACAGGAAGCAGGGTGCACTGCTAGCGTTAGCATTAGCAAACCCAGCTGACAAGTAACATTAACACCGATGGCCGAATCCAAAAGTTAGACCGACTTTGACGATAAAAAAAGGCACTAAGGAAAATCGACAAAAGCCACACAGTGAATCTGAGAACATGTTAATTCATTTGCTCAGACTGAACAAAAAGAAATGCAATGATATTGCATGTTACAGGGACTGTGATGAATGTAAATCCCACTGTTCTGATTGCACTAAAAAGCAAACTTTTTTACTCTTACTATGCATATGGTGGAGAGCTCCTTATACTATGACAGTTTTTTAAAAATCGCAATATATCACCTTGTTTACAGCATCGCAAGATAACGCGATATATTGACTCTTAACCCCTGTATCATGATACATATGGTATCGGCCAGACTCTTGCCAATACACAGCCCTAGTATACGCATACTAGAAAAAAAGCCCAGAAATGCTACTGCTAACAAAAAAAAGACACCCATCACTTATCAATCATATATCAGACTAGCTTCCTAGTTATCTATCTGGCTTATGTATCAGTCTACAGTATATAGCTGTAGGCCTACACTTCCTGTTACATCTTACTCAACCATTCTCCTCATGTCCTCCTCAGTAACATTAGATCATTTGTGATATTTTAAGCTCTTGTGAAACTAATATTTTTCCAAAAAAGCCAGTCAGATAAAATCCCGTCCCCATCCAGGACGGAGCCACCGAACCAGCATCAATAATTCATATCTTGGTGGGGTGATGGTTTGGTTGATGGCTGGGTATCCTAACAGCTTTTATCTGTGTAGCCTGCTCTTCTGAAAGTTCATGAAATGAGCCAATTAAGTATGAATGCAAATATGGAGGAAAGCTGTTTAAATTCAGCTAAAGTTATTCTGCTGAGTAAGCAGCATCACCAGCAGTTGTGTTTGAAATGCCTTGCTCAAGGGAATCTCAGCACTTGTGTGGGAATAAGAAACACGAGTCACTTCACCAGCTGTGATCTGAGTCAGTCACCCTGTAATTACCTGCTCCTCTGACTGTTCGGCTACTGCTGCCCTCCAGCCAGAACTGTTATACGATATCCCAGATGTTCTTTTGACAGGTGTAGAACACATAACATCTGTCCCGCCTTTGCTTGACAGAGGCTAAATTTGATTGCATGATTGCATAGGTGTTAGCGATGTACTAACAATCTCAGCATGGGAATATTCAGAGCCGATGTTTTCTCTCAGCACAGTGGATCACTGCAGAGCAGTTTAGAGAAACAACATAAAACATTTGTCAGAGTCAAATAAAGCTCTGTGGGTTTCGGTCTGTGTGCCATTTTTCCCCACATAGGACTACGAGTCTACAGCCAGGACATAAGGCACAGCTAATGCTACTACAGCAACATGCTTGCAGTGACAATGCTGATGATTAGCATTTATGATGTCAACCATGTTCAACATCTCATGGTCAAACGGGAATTTAATTGACAACTGACAATCTGACATTCACACCCATTTCACACGGTCATCGGCCAGGGGTGTGGAGGTGAGAAAGGAGCCGAGGTTTGAACTCCTCTTTCAAGTTCTTTTATTCAACTATTTCCAGCAATTTCCGCGTTCAGAGCCGAGTGCAACACGATGAATATCTTCCAGGAGAGACTGTCTGAAAGTTCACACCTCACAAGGGCTAGCTCAACGTCAGACACAGATTAAAATGAACTAGTTCAAGTTTGCAGATCACAATTTTGAATTTAGAACTAAGTTCATAGTCCCAAAACATGACCTAGTTCACAATCATTTTTTATGTTTTTTTCTTCTTTTTTTAAATGAGCTATTCTGAGCTAATTTTTATTCAGTAGAACCTCCTCTGAACCATCCACCCCCAGCCCCCAATCACCACCACTTCCCAAACTAAATGATTTACTGTATACTACTATAAAACACTCTTGTTTTACCACAAACGGGATGCAATGGGTGCCATATTTGGGGGGCCCCACGCACATCCAGAGTGGCCCGTGCCAACCGCGGTAGCCAATCCCCTCCAACCTGCCCTCTGCGTAGCATCGGACGGCAACCTTGTGTTGTTTGAATTGCCAACAATAAACCAAAGTCAGAGGATCAAAGTCATTAAGATGGGGCGTGAGAATCTATACCACTTTGTTCATTCCAATCCATCCAATAGTTGGTGAGATTTTTCAGTCTGGATCAAAGTGATGCAATGACTGCCTGACAGACATGTCCATTGCTAGAGCTGCTGCAAGTGTGACTAAAAATCAGCAGATTAAACCTTGTTTTATACCAACAGGATATGTGAAAGCTTTTATAGCCTGGCTATAGGCTGAATTGCATTATGTAAGTTGGTGTTACAGAGAAGCAAAAGGCCACATAAAAATTTCAGATACTTTAAAGCTGCTATAGTGAACACATATATGGTACCAACCACGATAAGAGACACTATCTCTGCTTATTTCTCGACCAGATAACACCCTCCGGTCAAGATGAAATCCCTCTTCAAGTGTCCACCTCTCAGACAAAGCTATCTAATTTTGCGAGAGCACTGCTGGCTCCAAAAGCTGCTTCGATACAGCCAGTCCTCAAAGGAGCTGTAACCAGGGCCAAGGAACAGGCATCCTGCGCGGGCTCAGCTCCAAGCACTGGGCGTACGGCCCGTACTGGAGCCTCGGTGGCCACTCACTGGTTTATTGCCATTTCAGTGAGGAGAGGGAGGAGGAGGAGGAGGAGGGAGGGGATGGAGCGGAAGAGAGGGGATAAAAAGGGGAATTGGGAGAGGATGGAGAGATGAAGAATGGAATGATGACAAATATGCTTTAGCTGCCTCTGAGGAAATAACATAACCTAGGTGAAAGTAGTGCCCTGTGCCAAATGGATGGATACCACTTCTCTGAATGAAAAACAAACATGTAAAGCACAAAAAAAAAAAAAAAATACACACACCAATAATTACTGAGCAGGCTGTATGGAGGCTGCTGACACCGGAGAACATGATAACACCAGAGAGCAACACCAGCAAACACACACACACACACACACACTGTGGACAAACATGATGTCAGTTGGCATGTCTTTGTACACCCTCACACACCAGAACAGACACACACAGGAATGTTTATGTGTTTATGGCTCAGACTTAAGTCCAGAGTCCAGTCTGTTTTTTATTAGGCCTTTTTCTACCTGCAGAAAGGGTGTTTTCAGGTAGCCAGGCCTCTCATGTCATCATATGTGGACCCAATTCACCCAGACTTGTTGGGTTTGGAGACACCGGTTCCCTCATCTTCCCACCTTGTGCACAGCAGCTTGACATGCATTAGTGCATGTACGGGCTCCAGCGGACACCGGAGCCAATGCTTTGGGGTGTTTCTTACCTGGATTGCCGCAGTCCGCGCACGTTTCGTTGCCGGGTCTCACCAGCACGTCTTGCAGGAGCCGGTTGTTTCCCTCCGGTTCCAGCGCCATGGTGAGTTTATCCGTCCAGCCTCACCGCGGTGGGAAGAAGCCTGCACAAGAACATCCGCTGAACATCCACAGACAGACTGACTGTTCGATCACCTGCCACCTCCGATATGAGCTGGAGGAGAGAAAAGACTGGACGATCCGAGGCGCTCTCTCTCTCTCTATCTCACTCTCTCTCTCTCACTCTCTCTCTCTCGCTCTCTCACTCTCTCTCTCTCGCTCTCTCACTCTCTCTCTCTCGCTCTCTCACTCTCTCTCTCTCGCTCTCTCTCTCTCTCTCTCTGATAGCTCTATTACCTAGTCTCACTGACTGCATAATAATCAAGCCTATAGCCGATGTTACCATCACCTCCTCCCTCCCTCCCTCCCTCCCTCCCTGTCTGTCTTCTCTCCCTCCATCCAGTCTTATATTTTATGAAAGTGTGACATCCAGCGGTGGATCAACTGAACGCACTGCACATTCATAGACCATTGAAAAGTCAGTCATCATCTCTAACGACACAATACTTATATCGACTATTTGTATAGAATCCCCTAAAAGTTTCCTATGAATGTTTACCTGACGGCCACGGCACCTTTTGTGCAATTCCCAGGTATTTCCAAGTGTCTACTTGGAAACTAATGCACAAGAGGAAAATACCCTATGGATGTTAGATTTAAATTAAAGAAATCGTATTATTTATTTATTTTACTACTTTTATTTTGTAGTTTTCAAATAGTGTTACACCAATAGACCTACGTTTTTTCACTTCGTAATTTATATAGAATTATTTAAAGGCTGTTTCTTTATCCATCTCTCTCGTTAGATTGTGTCCATCAGTTCGAAAAAGTTATTCGTTTTTAAAAATAAATAAATAATAAATTAAAAAAGGGCTGATGTGGACTGGAGACCGGGGGGGGGGGGTTGAAGGCAGTGGCAGGGCTCGGCTGGTGGTGTGGCTGGACTGGAGGCTAGAGGATCCACTGGTGAGGTGGTGTGACGGGAAGAGGCTGGCTGCACTGAACACAGGAGAGAAGAAGTTAGCATTCGGGGCTTAATCGCAATTAAAGTCGATATTCAGGGGGACATGCTCCCCCTGGGAATTTCTTTCCCCATTCACAGAAGCTACAAGCTGTTTACTGTATCAAGCCATTTGTACATCATTTGGGAAGCCACGCCCACACACGTTCACAGAGACACGACAGAGGGAAAACCACCTGGAGATACCGTGACACTTTTATTACTTTGGAGTGTGTTTGTTTTATAATAAGCCCATTTTATTATTCTCAACACAGTATTGGATTTAATAGTAAGCATTTTTATTTATTTCTATGGTCTCAGTATTTTTTTCTATTTAATCATTGGGGCATATTAAGCCATTTTGTGCAACGTCTAAATGTTTGGATCCCCTTGATTTTATAACAACATGAAGCTAATTGTTTGTATGGTTGGTGGAAATGAGATTGTGTCCAGTTTATAAGTTTTTAAAGAATAAAATTAAACCTGAGTTTTTTTTTCTTTTTTTTTTATCATCGATGAGATCCACTCTATTCCATCCGTGCTCTATTACTAATGTCGTCGCCTAGTGACGGCCCCAAAACAGAACGTCATATTTACGCGACAGCGGAGTCACGCACGGTGACAGTTTCCTGTAGTTCAGAGGACTCGCAGCTTTTTAAGTAAAGCTACTTAATCTCAGATAAACATGTCTACTGCCATGAATTTTGGCTCGAAGTCTTTTAAACCTCGGGCTCCGGATAAAGGATCTTTCCCTCTGGATCATTTCGGTGAGTGAAGACACTCGGTTGTGTCCAGGAAGGGTGAATAACATTGAAACATTCCGACGTGCACAACACGCACTTTGTTTCTGCGGTTGAATTTTATTTTTATTTTGCCATTAACTGAACATAACAAGCCTTGACTTATGTGAGGTTGCTTTTTATTTCAGGAGAGTGTAAAGACTTTAAGGACAAGTTCATGAAATGTCTGAGAGACAGCAGCTACGACAACTCCCAGTGTCGACTGCAGTCCAAAGACTACCTGGAGTGCCGGATGGAGCAGTAAGAACCATTATTACAAATACTGCGTACACTTTGAAAAACCTAACATGCGGTGGTGACTCAGTAAAGTTTAACAGTGTGCTCATACTTGTAAACAAAAAGTGTCATGTTTTAATCAGAGCTGCATAATGTCCTTGTTGTTTTGTGTTTTCCAGTCAGCTGATGGCCAAGGAGCCTCTGGAGAAACTGGGATTCAAGGATCTGATGGATCCTCCTCCCAGCCAAGCGGACAGTAACACTAAACTGTGACTTTACACCACAGCTGCTGTTTCAGAAATACAAGGATGGTGTTTCTCTGAACTTGAAAGATTCAACACTTAGTTGGGGATAAGATGAGGCAAAGACTGTTTTGAGTGTGAAGCTGAGAAGGAGGACACTGGTTTGACTTGCCGCCTTAGTTTGAGGTCACAGAGAACGACCTAATTTTCTCAATCACTTGTGTACATAAGATTATCATGTATAATATATAGAGTTGTTGTTTTGTGGTGTGTCAATAAATTCTTTCTATTTAAACTAAACTTTGTGTTGATCGACCCTAGATTCTTTTATTCTTCTCAGCTGCTCTCAGAGCTCTGTGTCGAAAATGGTTCGTTGTTTCAAAGCATTTGATACAGTTAATACGGTGGCAGCTGCTGTTGGCACTGCATTTGTATGGTCCCATATAATAGGGATTCAAATATTGCCCATTTACTGTATACTGTATTTTATTTGAAGTTCAAAACCTATATATACCCATATAAAAGCAACATGTTGTAGTTTTACAGGGGGTTGTGTGCCAGACTATTTCTTTACTGGGCACAGTTCCTGCAGTCTTTTCATCACTGTAAGGTTGCCAGGCAACCAGTGCAGACACTTTGGTTTTTGTATGGATTAAATGAACGAGACATAACATAATGATTAGTGAGCTGTGTGCAGCAGTGATCCTAGACTCTGGGGAAACTGCAGTGTCTTTATGGGAGGTTTAAGGGGGTTTATAATGTAGAAATCAGCAAATGTTGTTGTGACTGGTTCTTCCCAAAACAATCGTGTGAATCATAAAAAAAACGATGATTCACACTAAAAGTTAAAGTTAAGTTAAAACAATGACATTTATTGTCAAGTCGCAAGTTGAACGGCACATTAAGCCAGCAATACAAAATGAGGCACATGTACACACACCACGTCATGCAGATTGCATCAGTCCACCACAGAGGCAACGATTAAACACAACTGTTGCTCCCTAAACTAAAACCACAAACATCTGGATCAGAAGTTCACAGTGTGACATATATATATATATATTAAAAAAAAAAAAAACAAGTGGGAAAAGGAACAAAAATTCCTGATGCATCAGTAATTTAGCGAGTGACACTCTTACCTCTTTGTATTGACAATCTAATGATGACTATGTAATTTTTGAACTTACTGTATATTAGAACAGACATATATTGCTAACTGGTACTCTACTGAATATAACTCGCATGTATAGCTGCCTTTTTAATGATTTACTGTAAACGGTGATGCAGTTACAAACTCTGCTATGACATCATACAGTATGTTAAACATAGGTGTTTTAATACAATCCCCACCCAAGAATTAAGAGTGTGGGAGCCACCAGACTCTCATTCACCACAGTGAACTATATGGTACAGATGTTATTTTGTCCCACCCCCTCTAGATCTCTTATTTCCATATAGGCAAATTAACTGAGGAGGAGGGTTACAGTACGGCTTGTTTCAAAACTCAGTATTGATGTATAGTTAAAATATGACCAGTAGCACAACTTAACATCTTATAAGATTATATTATATTATTATTATTATTATTATTATATTAAAATGCCACTGGACAGAAATAAAAGTGAACATCTTGGTCCTGCCAGATGGATTTCAGAGAACACTGTTTGACGTATTAAACTGTAGATTTACTTTAAGAATGTTTTAAAGTCATTGGTGGGTTTACTGTTTCAGTGATGACAGCAGTGACATGAGATTCAATCATGTTTACCCAGCAGATAATTTGCTCTGTGCATGTGATGGTGGGTGATAAAACATTTAGTACGTTTTTGGACTCGGCTGAATTGGATGGAAATGTGCATTGATTTGTTTTGGTTTTTTTTTTGCAGATTTTCAGGAAATGTATTTAAAATTTTCGTGGAAACTTGACTATTGTCTTCAGGGTTTGATACATGGCTTTCACATTTTTTTAAATGACATATCAACTACATACTGGTGTGTTTACAGCACAAGATATAGTTTTAGGTCTGACTCAGTAAAGCAATGACACTAAAGCACAACATTTTAGCACTTCTAATGAAAATGTATTTTTAGCCTTCACCTGTGCATATTTGTCATATACCTGAGCAATATTAGCTCATTGCAGGTGAACTGGTAACAGTGTATATGTCAGCCCATAAATAACAAGAAATTGCAGTACAGAATGGCCAAAGTAGATTTTAGGTCATTTACAGACAGTCTGTCGTAGTTTATCCACCAGAGAGCGCTGACAAGTTTATTTTTACACTGTAATTCGTCCCACTTAGTGTGTGTTTTGGTCACACTGTTTTATTATGTCTTAATGTTTAAAAAATATTATCTGCACATACGTCTTTATCAAATATTTTAAACTCCTAAAAATTATTATCAGCACCTCATGTTCATCAGTTCTAGCTGGAACATGTAAAGCAGATCTGGCATTTACATACAGGAAGTTATTTACATAACTATAATTCAGTTTCTCCACTCTCCACCAATAACGTATTATTTACTGTAAGATTACTATCACCATTTAGCTCCATCAGATAGAGCTGCTGCTTCTCACATTATACAGTGCATACTCTGATGTCAGCACGAAACACTGGTTCAAACAATCTACTGAGTGACACAGTAATGATTTTGATGTCCATGCTCTCATCACTCAATGGGAGACGGACGGTTAACTACAAAAACCTGTATTTCCTGCATGTTCGCATGGTCACACCGACACTGATCAACAGGACACAGTAGAGGAGCAGATCAAGACGGTGGGGTGGGGTGAGGGTGGGGGTGGGGGGGTTCAATAATCATTAGCGGGAAGAGTTGGAGCTGGAACGTGACCGGTGACGGCGGCGGCCAGGGGATCGAGACCTGCGTCGTACTGGAGAGCGTCGCCGTGGAGACCGAGACCTAAGAGACAAAAAAAAAAAAAGTAAGACAAAGTAAGAAAAAATATTTGAGAGTGAAAGACCAAAAGCAAAATCTGACTGGACAAGGGTAAGAAGGTAAATCCTACTCATCTCAATGCCACAGCAACAAACTGTAAATACAGAGATTGTATCAGCCGCTCCAGCAGCTGATCACATGCTGCTTACCTTCTCCTCATTCGAGGCGGCGTGCGTCGCCACATCGGGGGTGGAGGAGGCATCCTGCGGGGAGGGGACAGCCTGCGAGGAGGAGGGCGCACTGTCGGAGTCAGCACGGCCGTGACTGTGATTTCCTGACCGTCAATCTGACCTGAAAAAAGAAAATCCAGCAAAATCTACACATTAATTTCAGCACATTAGTATAAGTGCCACCGTGTCAGTGTCAGCTACACTGTATTATACATGACTTAGAACATTGCTCTTATACAATCAGTGTTCCCCCACATCCTCTTACCTCCGTCCATGTGTTTCAGGGCCTTCTCCGCCTCCTCGGGTGTCTCAAACTCCACGTAGGCGTAACCTTTGGACAGGTGAGGGTGGATGCGGTTCATTGGCATGTCAATCATCTTGATCTTGCCATAGGTGGAGAAAATCTCCTGGATGTGTTCCTGCAAAAAGGCACAAAAGAGGACACTTGAACATTTGCCCCAACATCTACATTGAGGGTATATTTATATTTTTTAAAGTATCAGTAGAGAGATGATGAGATGTCACAGAGATGTGCCACGCAGTCGGCAGCATGGTTAAGCGTTCACCTTGATGACGTTTCTCGTCAGCCGGCCCAGGTACACCTTGGTGGGTTTGGGTGTGGGGCTCCTACGTCGTCGGTCTCTGTCATCCTTCTTTGCTGATTTTGACCTTCAGTGACATTTGCATTGCAGTTATTATCAGTGGTGGAAGTGGAAGTAGCAAGATCACAGTGTAAAAATACATTCATTCATTCAATTGTACTTGAATAAAAGTATAAAAATATAAGCATCACTTAAAGTACCAAAAGTAAAAATGGCTCATTTCAGACTAATATATATCATATTGACAGAATATAATTATTGATATGCATTCATTCATATAGCACTTTAATGTAGCAACTTTAATACATTTTTTACCAACATCACCAATAACGCCTGACTGTACTGTGAGAGACTCAGACAATCTTCATTTATACACAGAAGAAATAAGGTTTAACTGCTTGCTTAACACATTACAATATTTAAAAATGACCAATTCCATACTTTGAGCGTGAGCGTCGTCTGTTGTTGTGGCGCTGGCGGCTGGGGCTCGGCGAGGAGGATGAGGAGGAAGAAGAAGAGGAGCGGGAGCTGGACGAGCCTGAGTGGCTGGAGGCAGAGGAGCTGGAGCCGCTGGAGGAGCCAGAGCTGGAGCCTGAGCTGCTGCTGGAGCTGGAGCTGGACCTAAAACAACAGCACGTTTCAGGATGGGGAACATTACAAGTGAATCTTCCTCCATCTAAAATAAATACAAAGGATAAACACTACTGTGTCAAAGTCAACACAGACCAGCTCAATACTGACAGAGAATCGTTGAAATTAAACCACCCTTTGTCTAACATTTCCTTCTAACCTGAAAATTAAATGGAAAACAAATGAACATAATAAAAACAGAACCTGACAACTGCATCCAGTTTTATTTTGTAAAATTAGCCCCTGACCTACTGCTCCCACTGGAAGCACTGCGCCGTGTACGGTTCTTCTCTCGGCCCCGGTCTTTGTCGGCCCCGTCTTTTGTGGCTCCTGACTTCTCCTTCACTCGCTGTTTGCTCTTGTCATCCTCCTTCCTCTTCGTTGGGGAAGGCGCCCTGATGGAGGAGAGGAAAACAAACACGAGTCAGGCTTCAAGGCTCTGAATGTCACCTGGCAGATATTAAATCGCTTTCACTAGAAGCAAAAACAGATGTCTATTGGATCTGGTGTTTGCAAACTGTAACATCAAACTTTCAAGCTGACTGTTGGTTAATGAGTAAACTTATAAACTGGTTTCTCAATTTTAAATTCACAGGTATCCATATACGTTAGTAAAAATACTGCAAATATGACTGCACTTTTGAAGCAAATAAATAAGATGTCAAATTGTTTGGTAAAATCCATTACGATTTCACAATTAATAGCGCTTATTCAAACAGCATTAGCATTAGCATTAGCTAGTGAGCTAATATCAGTTTATTATGCTGTGCTTGTATTCAGGTGTGCGCTTTTTAAACCAAAACATTGTGCTTCTTCGACTCTGGCGTTACAGCGTTGTTATTAATTAGTCATACATGAAAATAACAAAGAAACACTGATTGAAATTGTAACGTTTACTTACATCTTTTCGCCTACTCGCGACAGCTATAGTCGCAGAAAGATGACGTAACGCTTTAGCTTGCTGTAAACCAATCACAACATTGTGCGCACTAGGCGGTGACATGCGATGGTAATGTGAAACTATTTCCCTCAGCATGGGCTGCCAGGTTATTTTATCGTATTTTCGCTAGTTATGTAGCCCTTGTTGTCTCCTTTTAGAAGTTCAATGATAATAGCTGAAAGCAAAAACACTATCAATATTGAGTGTAAAATATAATTACATATTATGAAGGTGATACACCGAATTCATTGTAAATTTGTTGATCCTACAACTGTAAGTTGTTCTAAAGTAGTGTAGTTAATCATTATTATGTTATGTTATATTGCCATTGACTTTTTTGATTTTTTCTTCTTGTATCTTCTAAACTATTTGGGGTTTTTTTGTATTCCTCTCTCTCTGTATTGCCTGTATATTTGAATGTTTTACAATAAAGATTGGGAAAAAAAACAGTGTGTTGCCTGACAGGTTACACTGAGGACATAAAATACATCAATTGAAGTTACAAAGTCTGCCTGATGGCTAACGGTAGTTTTAAAGTGGTGCGACAGGGAGTGAAGGGCATGCATGTTTTCTTCCTCTGGAACAGCTAAGCTCAAGATGAACTCCGCACATGATACTGATCCAGAGGAAACCAGCGAAACGCCAGGCAGTGCCAGGATCCTTGCTTTGACTGTGTGCTCTGCAGCCATTGGAGGCACCTTCCAGTATGGCTACAACCTCTCAATCATCAACGCTCCTACCAGCTACATTCAGGGGTTCATCAATGATACCTACATGGAGCGGTGGGGCACAAGCTTGGACATCCCTCAGGTGACCATACTGTGGACTGTTATTGTATCAGCCTTCTCACTGGGAGGTTTTGTGGGTGCGCTTTTAGCAGGTCCTATGGCAGTCCGCTTTGGGAGGAAGAACTCGCTGCTTCTGAACAATTCTTTCCTGTTTGTTGGCGCTGTGCTGGTGCTAACGTGCAGGGTGGCAAAGTCTTTTGAGATGATCATCCTTGCTCGATTTCTGGTGGGAATGAACTCAGGCGTAAGTATGAACATTCAGCCTATGTATTTTGGGGAGAGCGCCCCCAAACACCTCCGAGGTGCTGTGGCCTTTTCCTCAGCTGTTTTCACTGCATTTGGGATTTTCTTGGGTCAGGTTGTGGGACTCACTGAGCTGCTGGGCACAGAGCCTCTTTGGCCCTACTTACTAGCTAGCAACGCTTTGCCGGCATTGATCCAGCTGCTTACCTTACCTTGGTTCCCTGAAAGCCCCAGGTACCTACTCATTGACCGGGGGGATAGGGAAGCGTGTGTCCGGGCACTTGGGAGACTCCGCGGTGGGGAGGCTCCTGCCTTGGAGATGGAAGAGATGCTTCAGGAGCAGCAGCAGCAACAATCAATAGCCTTAGGTTCTGGAGGTGCAGCTTCTGCCAAGACGCCCTGGGCCTTGTTTAAGGATCGCGACCTGCTATCCCAGCTCAGGACAGTCATGGCTGCCAGTAGTGCTATGATGCTCTGCGGCAATGACTCCATCTACTTCTATGCCTCTTACATCTTTCTCGAAGCAGGGATCCCTCCAGAGAAAGTCCAGTATATCACCATTGGCACCGGGGCATCTGAGCTTACCGCGTCTATACTGAGTAATTTCCTGATTGAACGTGTAGGCCGCAGGTACCTTCTCATCGGAGGGTACAGTCTTATGTCTTGCTGTACTGTAGTCTTCACTGTAGCTCTTAACCTCCAGAGCCGCGGGGTGGCGGGGATGCCCTACCTCAGCATGGCATGTGTTTTCACATACATCCTCAGCTTTGGCTTGGGCCCCGCAGGAGTGACCGGGATCCTACCGGCTGAGATCTTTGACCAGGCGGCTCGCCCGGCAGCGTACATGGTCGCCGGCTCGCTCATGTGGATCAGCCTGTTCTTGGTGGGAATGTTGTTCCCTTTCATCGTCAACAGCCTGGGGGACTTCTGCTTCTTGCCTTTCTTGGCTGTGTGTTTGGTGTCTGCTTTGTTTTTGGGGCTCACCTTACCAGAGACTAAAGGCAAGACGCTGGCTGAGATTACCGCAGAGTTTCATAGAAAAAATGAAACGAAGAATGACAGGCCAGGGAGGCAGGTGGATGAGTCCAACACAGATCACCCCCAGCTCCATACGGCCTGTTCCTTCACTAGCCTGACACAAGATCCTGGCTGCAACCAAAAGAATAGGGACTGAAAAAAGCATCCTAATAACCTCAATCAACTGCTACTGCTTATAGTTTTTTATCATAATCATGACTTTATGTTTAAATTTGATTTGATTTGTTTTGAATGACTTCACCCTTTATAAGTTTAAGGTATAAGAAGGAAATTCACGTCACAAGAAACAATCTGAACTGCTGGCGAACAGATAAAAAGCTTGTGAAACCTGTAGTAAGTCACTGTCTTGAGTCGTAATGTGTGTTTCTAACTGAAGGAAGGAGTCAAGACAATAATATACCTCACATGAAGCCTCATAATCCACACTCATACCCACTCCAACTCTTTCCAGTAGAGTGGGTAATCGTTTGAATCGCCTGTATTAAAGGATTACTCGCCCTAATTCAACACATCTGCAATGGGTAGATAATGGTGCTTGTTTATTATGTAATCTGACTTCATTCACCGTTTTGTTGACATGTCTGTCTAGTTCAGTGATCCATGTTTGTGCACCTTTTTCCCCACAATCAAAGATCCAAGTGGAAATATTGACTCCAAACTCTGGCAGCTTTGGTGTCATGTTCTACCCGGTTCATTTCGCAGGATATCAGGCCTGTGTAATTTGTGGTGTTTTATTTATGTCGGTTGTGATGTTTTTAAAAAAAAATTTATTTACTTGCTGAAGTGAATATCAACAAACCTCTGATGCTGCTCGCAATTTAACAAACGTTTGAAACATCGTCTCGAGCTCTGAGTGGACGGCTGCAGCGCTGCAAACGGTCCAGTAGGTGTTGCACTGTCACTGTTGTTTGCGTGCTCTCCTTCACATACTGGAAATATAAAGCTGTATGATATCAAAAATGAATCACAGATGTATTTCACCCGAGTGAAGAGGACACATTCAGCAGCTGTCAGCTCAACAACCTCTCCAGGCCGTCTGTCGACCAATCTGTCATGGCTTCTGTATAACTTCTTAGTAAAACATTATTTATTCTTTTTGTTTTTTTAATTGGAAATCTAAATCACCCTTTCAATCATTTAACTGGAAACTTTCCTGGATTTCAGGAAGAAAAACACACGGTTTAGCATGTCGAAGGCGCTGTGCATGGACTGAATGAATTTACTAGTTACTGTATGACACTGTCAATCCAAAGAATGTTATGATAGTAAGCATTAGATAAAAATGTGTAATGTTCAGGCTGTATTTTGTATTTATTGGCTACAAAAATACATTATATGTATTCAATGGGAACAATAATAAAACATAAAGGTGCTGATCTACACCATTGTCTTCCTGATTTGGGCAGTTTGACTGATTCTGCCTGTCAGATCGAACTGCTTTCTTAATTACGTTTAATCACATTACTTGGTCTCCCTCTGCTACTTTAATCCAGCCGCTCCCCTTTAAAACTGTTAGCGTAATAGTGTTTATTTGTGGAAACAAGTGCTGTTTGAGAGCATGTCACTCTGAAGTGAGGAAAGGTTCGAGTGTGCTGTTTCACTGGACTCTGTTACATCATTTCAGCATAATTGAGCAATGCCCCCCAGGCTGGTAAAATTGTAAATAGATGGCAGAGGAATTGGATTAATATTTAATTATGTGCCCAAACAAGTGGGTTTTTCGTGTGTATGAGAGCGTGGCTGTAAAAACAATAGCAATCTTGTCTGAAACTGTTTTTTTTAAAATCACAACAGGAAACAGGATATATTCTAAACTGATAAAAAATAAATAATTAGCATTCCCGTTAGGGGTTTAGAGATAAAAGAGTCAAGAGAGATTCTCTACACGCAAAACCAGTCTATGTTACACAGTAAATCTAGTCCGGAGAGATGGACCAGACAAAGACACATTAATCATACCGAGTTAAATTCTGAACACAAACCGGTCCGTTTTGGTCGGTGGCTAATGATCTCAGGGATTCGGTGTGTTTATCAGTGCTTAGGGCGATAGCGAGCGCGTAGCACACAGTGACTCATCAGGCTAACCTGGGAAAAGAATGAATGACATTTAGTAGCGTGCCAATTCTCCAATCGCAATTTCAATTTTCAGTTCTCAGAGGAGCCCTCAGCCTGCAGTTTAAAGAAGTCATTGGAGAAATGTGCTCATGTGTTTGCTTACCAAGAGTCAGACTATAAGTTTGATACCACTCTCAGAGACTACAGCCAGGAGACCCTTAGATCAGCGGGGGGAAAGGGAAAATAACAAACTAAACTCAAACTACAGTAAAATCCCCAAAAGGTACCAGTCCACTGTGAGCCAATAGTTGCTGCTTCTTTGAATGTCAAAGTGTAAAGTGACCTTTAGCCAAAACTGATCCAGAACTCAGTATTCAGTCCCTAACACGTAGTGCTGAAGATGCCTTTTTTCTGTGATTGAATCAGGGATGGGAGACGATACCGTATTATGTTTTGTTTTCATGAAAGACGTACGTTGTATTCATGTATACTTGATGTACCTATTCAAAGAGGTGTACCTGTTCATGTTTTTTCTGGTACTAAGTGGTGCTCCAGAGTCTTTTCTGGGCGAAAGTGGGCTTGGAGAAGTGGTTGCTAAAAGGAAGTCATAATGTTTAAGCCTGATGCGTTTGTTTGCGTCTTCCTGTTTGACTCTGGAGTGCAGGTTTCCTTTGGCAACCAGAAGTGGCTGTGCAGATGCACCGGGGGAGGTAAGAGTCTTACCTTTTAATTGCAATTCCTATCAGTTTCTATGAAAACACGGGAAGATGTCGCCCGTCACCCGAGAGAGAGCAGAAGACATGAAAACTGAACCATAACATCATTTTATAGGCTGAAAATAAAAAACAATATCAGATGCTGATGTCTTTGTGCCTT